AAACATGATCATATGCAAACTTCAAAACATCTGCGATCCAAAAAGACATCACAAGTTTTGTATTTTTAGGAGTTTAAGTGGCAGCTGCTGAAAATGCATTGGGAGAAAGGAAACAGAAGTTGCACTAAAGAATCAGCAGCTTTTGGAGAAATGTATGTGATTAAAAACCAACAAAAAAAGAATAGACATAATAATCAAAATAAAACCAAATAGAATCCAGAACAACAGGATGAATCAATGTGTTTTATGACCATAAATAATGAACTGAGAACGTGGTTTGTTATCATCACATATGACAGTAAAAGTCAAATAACTTTGGTCAAATAAGTTTAGAATCAGTGTCTCTGCTAATCCCGAAATCCAATGGAAGAAAAACTAAAATCTACAATAATTTCAAATGTAAATCGCACTAGAGAATAATAATCAAATAACTTTAGCATAAAAATCATGCCACAAGTTTAACAGAGGACCAGTGTCACTTCTGAACAACTGAATATACAAATTTGAATTATAAAATGTTATTTTCTCACACATAAGTTGCTCTGGAGAATTAGCTTTTTTGAGGAAATGTATTTCACCAAGAATAGACATTTGAACTTGAGGCAGTTAAAAAAAAGAATAAAATAACAAAAGGCTGAATTATAAATGAACTGAGAACATGGTTTGTTATCGTCACATATTGAGGAAAAAGTTAAATAAGTTAAACAGAGAAGATGCTACAAGTTTAACATCAGTCTCTGCTAATCCCTAAAACCAATGAAAGAAAATGTAAAATGTTATAATTTCACACATAAACCACAGCCAATGACAAACAAACTATGACAAAAACTGAAAATCTGAAAAAGACAGTATATTCCTTTATGACTTTTAAAAAACTATTAGTAAATACAGTATATTCCTTTATGACTTTTAAAAAACTATTAGTAAATACAGTATATTCCTTTATGAGCTAAAATCACCAAAACCCATCAGTCTTTCCGCTGCTTGTACAGAGCAGTGTGGTCTCTGCCCCGGAGCAACAACACACGTCTGTGCTGGAAAACCAGAAACACCTTTTGCTCGTCTCACACTGAGCCCTCGTCTGTATCTCATAATCGCTGTTTCAATAAGAAGCCGCTTTTCTCTGTGATCGAAAAGATACAGCTCTATTCATGTAGTTTTCTTGTCGGTTAATGGCGGTTTTTGACGGTTTTTGAGGTCAGGGATGTCTCTGTCGTCCAATGGTATTTCTTAATAATTGTCTGGATTCTGCTGCTTTGTGGTTCAAAACTGATCAATACATGTATTTATGTATTTATTTATTTATCACAGAGACAGTGCATATTAATTCACATTTCTGTAAATATGCCAGAATTAGCCAAGTGTTTATATTCTATTATATGTCGTCTCCTGAAAGATGAAAACATGTTTGCCTCACACACAGTTGAAACAATTCGGGTTTTTACAAAATTTACAAGGACAAGACAAGAAAACCTTCAGTCACACATACAACGAACGATACACAAACTTAAAGACACACACAGAACACACACACCAAGAAAAAGGACAAGGCTAATCCACAATTAGCTCGACATGCTCTTTCATTAGCATTAGCATTACCATTAGCGGTTTGTAAAGCAGACCACACATTTCTGCACACATTCAAAGTCATGTCATAAATTGGAAAATGAATTGAAAGTTGTCTCTGAGGCCAAGCTGAATCCAAAACCGTTCTTTTCCCCGTTCCCCGGCCGCTCGCTTCATGCAGATTGTCAATTAAATTTGTGTTTGGAGCAACATTGACAGCCCTTGCTCTTAATATTTTCATTTCTAAAAGACAGGTTTAGTGATTCTCCTCCCAGGTTATGGATCCAGCATGCGTTACTCCATCTCCGCTGCGTTTCATTTCCACTGCAGCTGCCAATTACTAATTCCATGTTTCAGCCATGAATGTGTGTAATCCCGGAACTGTGAATTATATATTTAATTTATTGGATTCTGCACACTGTGGCGCTCGTGTTTTTAAATAATGAAGTTGAAAAGAGAGTTTAGATTCTCGGCCTGGTTCATGAATTCACAACGTTTTCATTTTCAATCGGAATTTCACTTTTATTTCCTTTCGTTTCTGATTTGTTCTGATTGATTCTTTGCCAATGTTGAACGTTTTACTGTGGTGATATTTAAAGAATCATGGCTGTAAGAGTTTCAATAGACAAAGCAATTTTAATGAATGAGGAGCAGATGTGAGAATCAAAATGTCAGGAAACAGGAAAGCATCACACACCCAGCTCAGACGTCCAAAATCGTATTTATTATTCTTATTTATTCATGACGGCTTTATGTCTTTGTCATGTTTTTCTTTTTCATTTGACCACTAAATACTAAATAGTAAGAAAAACATGATCTGATGAAGGCATGAAGCCGAAACGTCCTGAATAAATAAGAATAATAAATAAGACTGGCTCGAGCCTGGTTCATCGTTTAAACCAGGCTCAAACCAAACTTATAATTTTTGATAATGTTTGAGAAAATGTCCAAGAAAAGCTAAATATTACATTCTGAAACTGTGCCTGGTTTGTAGTTTTTTGTGTTTATTATTTAAGATTTTCAAAGTAACAGTTAAAAATGAACTGACTTCATCTTGATCTGGACTGAACCTAATTCTTTTTTACTGTTTTATTATGTATATTTCTTATTCTATTGTGTTTTTAAACCCTCACCTTCTGCTGAAAGCCCTAGAAATACAGCCTTATTTGAGTAAGTGTCATAAGTAACTGAAGTGCTGCCGTTTGAGACGAAATGACTACGGACTAAAGAATGAGCCCTGGAGCTTTTTAAGAGAAAGGCAAGGCACGTTTATTTGTATAGCACAAGTCATACTCAAGGCAACGCAAAGTGTTGAACAAGACAGAATAGTATTAAAATCAACGGGGAATTGTACATGTTACATTTGGTACAGACAGAATCACTGAGATTGAAGTTTTAAACATGGTAAAGGTTAACAATATAGTCTGAGAATCACTAAAGAAAATCATATATAGAGAATCACATGTAGAAAAACACATACAAAATCACACAGAGAATGATATATAGAAAATGACATATAGAAAATCACATGTAGAGAATCACATGTAGAAAATCTCACTGTTAATTCAACAAAAATTCCCAGTTTTGAAGTTCCATAGCCGTGATTTTTGACCTGAACACTTGGATTTCCTTCAGCCGTGGCTCGGTCTCCTCCCGTCAGACTTCTCCCTCTGCTCTTGCGTCTGTGACTGTGGTGTGTGTGTGTGTGTGTGTGCGTGTGTGTGTGTGTGAATAGAGCCATTAGCAGCTCTGGGGCCGGGGTCAGAGCCGGTCTTGACATTTTAATTGCTCTCTCCACAGGGTTTCTTCAAGCGCACGGTGCAGAACAACAAGCGCTACACATGCATCGAGAACCAGAGCTGCCAGATCGACAAGACCCAACGCAAACGCTGCCCCTACTGCCGCTTCCAGAAGTGCCTCACCGTCGGCATGAAGCTGGAAGGTACACAGCTGCTGGAGCCAACTATATTTTCATTTATTTAACTTGTATTTAACCAGGAAAGCCCCAATGAGATTTAGAGCCTATTTATCAAAGGGAGTCCCGGATAAAAGTCACACACACTTACAGATTATAAAAACAGATAACTTATACATACAGTACAATACTAAATTACACTGTGTATATTACATACAATTTCATATATATCAGGTCTCCGTAATCTAAAATAGAATTATAACAAACTCGTTTAGTTCCTTTTGCTATCCTTGGGTCAACATTTCCTACCACAATGATTTAGAATTTGAGCTGAATTTTGATGATTTTTCCTCCAAAAGAAAGGTTCAAAAGAAAGGGTCCAAATCTCTCTTGCTTAAACCTGTTTCTAGGTAAAAAAAGAGTCTACTTGAATCACTAAAATAAGGTCCTTTATTTGTCCCACAATTGGGAAATTTCAGTTTGATGCATACACATACACACATACACACATACACACACACATATACATATACACATACACATACACATACACATACACATACACATACACATACACATCAAGGCAAGCAGCGAACATAACTTCCGCGCTCCTTATAGGCAAAGTGGGTTAGGGTTAGTTACTTGCAGACATCAGTGGGAGTCGGTGGAGAAGGTCTCGTGATGGGCTCGAACCCACGACCTTCAGGCTCAAAGGCCAATGCTCTGAGACTGAGCCACTGTTGCCACAATTACAGATTACAGATTTATCGTGGATTATAACAAACTCTTTAAGTTCCTTGTGCTATCTTTGGGTCAAAATAACCCACCAAAATGATTAAAAATTATTCATTCATTCATTTATTTTCAACCCCTTCATTAGTCCATTTCTGGGTTGGGAGGGTGTGGCAATGAGAGCTGCACCCTAAAGCTCATAGCACCGGTCCCTCTGATCTTCTGCAGATGGTGAGTCCATTGGTGTTTCAGCGGGAACTTCAGGCAAAGTGGGGTTAAGTGTCTAGCCCAAGGACACAACGACAACAGACATGGGGCAACCGTAGCCCAGTTGGTAGAGCATTGGCCTTTAGGCTGGAAGGTCGTGGGTTCGAGCCCACCATGGGATCTGCTCCAACTGCTCCCACTGATGTCTGCTGTCTTTCTGTCGTTGGGCAAGACACTTAACCCTGAAACACCAATGGACCCACCACCTGCAGAGGATCAGAGGGACTGGTGCTATGAGCATTGGGGCGGCTCTCATTGCCACCCCCCGACCCAGAAATGGACTAAAAAAGTGGTTGAAAATGAATGAATGAATGAAAGTAAATTTTCCTTTTATTTTCCGTTGGTAACGATGATACTCGTGGTGGAGACTTTCTCTTTGTTTTAGTTGAACCTGGATCAGAGCCGGGTCCAAAGCGACAGAGCGAGCAGCAGAGACAAAGATAATATTTATAATCTATGATATCCTCGCCTTAGCTGACGAGACGATTATGTGACAAATTATGGAGAAATATCTGAATAAATAAGTAACTGGAGCTGGTTTTACTTTATGTGAAAGTAATTACAAAGTGACGATTTATTACGATAGTGACAGGTATAATTTATGACATACATTTACTACAAACTTGATTTTGCTGCTAATAAAAAGACTAAATGCTGATGGTTTTAATGCCATTGGAAAATACACTGTCATTTTTAACATAAACAAATATACAACATTGTCGGGCATTTAATGGCACCACAATCTTTTATATTAGTTCAAAATCGATCAAATTCGCTAACACAAATTAGATTAGATTAGATTCAAACACAAACAATATAGAACACATGCTATTGGTCCACAGGAATGTTGATAAATGTCCAACTTTGAAAAAGACATGAATCAAAATCATTTAAATACTGCACAAAAAGTCAAATTTTTCTCTTTAGTTTCAGTCATTATCAAACTTTCTCAAATGCTTCTCGTTTTGAAACTACTCCAGTCTTGCTTTGTTGAAAACTCTACTTTTTTGCAATCCCCCACAAAAAAAACACAACATAAATTAGGCCTGATTAAAACAAATAATACATTTCGATTTTCTGTCTTTTATACAGTACTCCTTTTTTTTTACTCCTTTCTGGTCATAAACTCTCTTAAAACTCTTCTTTCCACTGTCTCCAAGCGCAGACTATCATTAATTGCTGTTAATTGAAAATGGCCGGCGGGCAACGTGTCCAGGGCTGTCATCTCCCCTCACATGCACCAAGGGGGGGGGGGTGATGGGGGCAAGGGCGGGGGGGGGGGGCACCCTGCAGGAGATGGACGGTGTTTGTAGGTAGCTCCGGGGCACGACAGGCCCTGCAGCGGCTCTCCATCAGAGGCCACCGGGCGACTCCTGCCACCTCCAGCAGAGCTCCAGTGCAGAAAACATGACACTTCCAACACACACACACACACAGTATATGCCTGGCTTTCTCTGAGTAAACACATGTTTTTATGCATGAGAGAACTTAAAAGGTGTGCAGAAGGCCATGGGCAAGAGTCATTTGATGCAGGAATGTATGTGTGAAGAACGAGGAGGTTTAGGTCGAGTGTTTTGTTGTTGCAGGATGTCCATGCGTGGGCCACGGAGCGCACAAAGCTCAAATGTTTTCTTGCTCAGTCAAGGATTGCAGTTTCTTTCAAGTATAAACAACGACATAAGAAACTGTGAGACTGTGGAGCTCAGTACTGGGTCTTAGCGAGACACCCGGACCAGCAGAGACTGGACTGGGCCTGACACTTGTTAGTATTATATCTAAAAACTTAATGTTACCACAATCTAGAGAATGGAATGGTGACTATAATGAGGCTAATTACATCTGCAGCTGTGACCTAAAGTGTATTTGTATTCTATCCTTTTCTATTTTTGTAATTATCTATTTCATTTTTGTGTTTGTTTGGATTGATGTGTTTCTGCTGCTATCTCTGTGGTCTTAAACCCAGAGCAAAGGGCCTTCTCTGTGGTCTTAAACCCAGAGCACAGGGCCTTCTCTGTGGTCTTAAACCCAGAGCACATGGCCTTCTCTGTGGTCTCAAACCCAGAGCACAGGGCCTTCTCTGTGGTCTAAAACCCAGAGCACAGGGCCTTCTCTGTGGTCTAAAACCCAGAGCACAGGGCCTTCTCTGTGGTCTTAAACCCAGAGCACAGGGCCTTCTCTATGGTCTTAAACCCAGAGCACAGGGCCTTCTCTGTGGTCTTAAACCCAGAGCACAGGGCCTTCTCTGTGGTCTTACACCCAGAGCACAGGGCCTTCTCTGTGGTCTTAAACCCAGAGCACAAGGCCTTCTCTGTGGTTTCGTCTTCAGACTCATTTTTATGTGAGCCAAATGGCCCTTTTATTTTATTTTATTTTACGTAGTTTTACTGTAATGTTTTATTGCTGTTTTTGTATATGATTTTAATGATGTTACAGTTTTGCTATGGATTTGTTATAATTAGTTTTTTTCTTGTGCAGCTCTTTGGAAGCTTTGTGAAATGTTCTATACAGCATTAAAAAAAGTAGATTGCATTGTTCCCTATGTTCCATTTGGTCTTTATGAAACAGTTTTTGGAACATAATAACTTTTCCCACAGAGAACAGAGTTTGTAGACAGTCGTCCGCATTCCATTTACCGCTAACACTATCTCCTGACGTGGCACAGTGCTGTTGGCAGTGATTGTGGTGCAGTGAACTCCAGTTGTGTGTCTCTGTTTGTGTTGCTTCATCGTCAAAGCAGTTACATGAGGTGAAGACGACCCAATGGCATCGCTATTAATACACTGCTCACTTTGAACAATGTGAGTGTGTGTGTGTGTGTGTGTCTGAATGTGTGTGTGTCTGTGTGTGTGTCTGAATGTGTGTGTGTCTGTGTGTGTGTGTGTCTGTGTGTGTGTCTGAATGTGTGTGTGTGTGTGTGTTCGCGTGCGTGCGTGTGTGTGTGTGTCTGTGTGTGTCTGAATGTGTGTGTGTCTAAATGTGTGTGTGTCTGTGTGTATGTCTGAATGTGTGGGTGGGTGTGTGTGTGTGTGTGTGTGTGTGTGTGTGTGTGTGTGTGCTTGCGTGTGTGCGTGTGTGTGTGTGTGCGTGCGTGCGTGCGTGCGTGCATGTGTGTGTGTGCGTGCGTGTGTGTGTGTGTGTAGAAACTTAGCTCGTTTGAGAAACTATTTTAACTCGTTTTAACATTTCAAAGTCAAAGTCCTGAGTCTTAAACATGTTTCACAAAACTTTTTGTTGTTTTTCCTGCTTGGACTTTGGCTCAGAATGATTTCAAACTTGTACGTTCTTCAATTATTAAGGATTTTAGTGATTTAAAATGAGGAAGACTCGCCTCTTCATCGATTCAGTAATATCTAGCCCTAACCCTAACTTTCCTTGTTTCCAAAGAAAATTAAAAGTTGTCAGACTGTTGACAATTCCAGACAAAACAACATTTATATCAATGAACCCAAGCAAAAGGTTAACCAGGAGAGTTGTGGAAATCCCCTTTGAAAACATACCCTGGTCTTACCGCACCATTGTACTCATTTTAGTTTGTACTAAAGTCTGGATTTGCTCCAATAAGCTTGAAACGATTGGAGTTTACTGTGATGTATGTACAGTAATGAGCCCGAGTGAGTGAGGTATTTAACATTTAGCCTAGCTTTAGCATTTAGCCTAGCTTTAGCATTTAGCCTAGCTTTAGCCATCTCCTTTTCCACAAACGGAGCCCGTGGGGAGTAGAGCCACAACATCTTTGCTTCAATGACATTTACTAAACATTCCTCTTGCCCCGACTTCAGTTTTGTGATATTTGGGTTGAACCAGAACAGATTATTTTACTCATCATTACTAATATCAAGAAACTGAAGCCGGAGCAAGAGCAATGTTTAGTAAATGTCATTGAAGCAAAGATATTGTGGCTCTACTCCCCACGGGCTCCGTTAGTGGCAAAGAAGATCAGGCTTTCAGGCTCGCTCTGCTCTCATCTCGTCCCACATCAAAGGGTTCAGTGATCCGTCTAATAATACTAATAATATTAATGATAATAATAATATCTCTCACTCGTGGTTACAGCGAGAATAACCCACGAGTTGTAAGCGGCGCGCAGATCGTCAGGTTGTGTCTGATTGAGTTTTATTGTCTGTAATGTGTCTTTTATGAGCCTGAAAAGCAGAGCAATGCAATACAATGAATAATAATAGTTTTACCGTGAAGAGTGAAGGGGCAGTGGGTCATATCGACTCCTTTGAAAAAGAAGGTCCTTAATCTCACTTTCCTGGTTTAATAAAAACTTCTTTATTTTAAATGACATCTGCTTCTTTATGTGTCCAGATACAGCAATAGGTCAAAAATGTACAAATGATATATGACCGTTTTCTGATTTGACTGGATTTATTTTGAATTAAATTACAATTTTCAGGAAGGTTATCCAATCGGAAAACAGAAAAACAAAAATACAAAAAATAAACTGCCTTTATTTGGCCCTATAGTTTCCAAATCACAAAAAATGCTTCAGAAATATAAAAGTTTGTCTCATTTTCGTAACGTTTTAAAAAGTTTCAATACTATTTAGCATTTATTGATATCTGTTTGTCTATATACACGTCATGCTAAAGCAATAGTCTCCCTGTGCTACATTTCACTCAATAACCTACTTTCAGATACAAATGCCTTTAACAACCCCCGACATCTGAAATCACAACACATCATTGCTCCACACGTGAAACTCCACTTTTTATATTTATTATTTCTTCTTCCCGCCGCATCTTCTCTCTTTCCTCTTTTATTTCCGCGGCTGTTTGCTTCCCTCTCGGGTTGATCCATCCTCCATCAGCCTCCTCTCGCCGCGGCCGGGAAGACCTGTCCCATTACTTATGCATAGGTATCATAGGTATTCATGTGTGCGCATTGGATCGGGGCGCATCCGGAGCAAGGGCCCGGGCCCCGACATGACAAACAGGGTGTCAGCAAACCTGCACCGGGCCCATTAATATGCCCCAGGCCCGACAGCGGCGCTCACCTACGCACACTTAATATTCCTGTATATTAAACAACCATAAATCAGGGCGTAAGAGGTGAGGTTGGAGAGCTGGTGTGGGACTGGTGCTGGGGCTGGTGTGGGGCTGGTGTGTCGCTGGTGTATGGCTGATGCTGGGGCTGGTGTGTGACTGGTGCCGGGGCTGGGGCTGGTGTATGGCTAGTGTATGGTTGGTGTATGGCTGGTGTATGGCTGCTGTATGGCTGGTGTGTGGCTGGTGCATGGCAGGTGTATGGCTAGTGTATGGCTGGTGCATGGCTGGTCTATGGCTGGTGTATGGCTGGTGTGTGGCTGGTGCATGGCTGGTCTATGGCTGGTGTATGGCTGGTGTTTGGCTGGTGCATGACTGGTCTATGGCTGGTGTATGGCTGGTGTATGGCCGGTGTATGTTTGGTGTATGGCTGGAGTATGGCTGGTGCATGGCTGGTGTATGGCTGGTGTGGGGCTGATGTATGGCTGCTGCATGGCAGGTGTATGGCTGGTGTATGGCTGGTGCTGGTGTATGGCTGTATGGCTGTTGTATGGCTGGTGTATGGTTGCTGTATGGTTGGTGTATGGTTGCTGTATGGTTGCTGTATGGTTGCTGTATGGTTGGTGTATGGCTGGTGTATGGCTGGTGCTGGGGCTGGTGTATGGCTGGTGTATGGCTTGTGTATGGTTGGTGTATGGCTGCTGCATGGTTGGTGTATGGCTGGTGTATGGCTTGTGTATGGCTGCTGCATGGTTGGTGTATGGTTGGTGTATGGCTGGTGTATGGCTGCTGCATGGTTGGTGTATGGTTGGTGTATGGCTGGTGTATGGCTGCTGCATGGTTGGTGTATGGCTGGTGTATGGCTGCTGCATGGTTGGTGTATGGTTGGTGTATGGCTGGTGTATGGCTGCTGCATGGTTGGTGTATGGCTGCTGCATGGTTGGTGTATGGCTGCTGCATGGTTGGTGTATGGCTGCTGCATGGTTGGTGTATGGTTGGTGTATGGCTGGTGTATGGCTGGTGAGGGGCTGCTGTGGGGCTGTTGTGTGGAGGGTATTTTTTTATTTTTTTGGGGGGGGAAAGGTTTTGGTCCAGGTCAGTTTGGTAAATTTATGGAGGGTTGTGAATCGCAGACGAGCCGGGTTAGCCAGCGGGGAATTCAGAATGAGAGACTCCGACAGCCTTTTACCCTTTCAGCCCTTTTCAATGCGGCAGTAGCCCCTTAGCCGCGGCGCTAACCCCAAAGATCACATTTCCACTGCAACTCCGGAAGTGTTGTTTGTTACCAATTGTCTCAGTTTATGTTGTATGTATTTCCAGTCTGTTTGTTTAATGTTTAATTTATAACACACAGACTAAGTTTTAGTTACGCTGAGCTTTAGTAGCAATGCATCTGACAGCAACTATCTTGCTAAGAGTTATTATGGACTGTTTAGTTTTCCAGGTTTTATATCAAGAGAGCATTGGGGAGAAAGAACGGAGCTGGCAAACCGACAAAAAGATATTTAAAGCTGGGGTACCTAACTTAAACACTAGACAAAATACAACATGTCTAACAACCGTAATTTCCGGACTATAAGTCACAACTTTTTATTAGTAGTGACTATATGTTTCTTTCTAGTAGTGACTTCTAGTAGTGACTGACTCGGTGTGGCTAATATAGCGATGCGGCTAATATGTGTATTTTCATTGTTTATTCAGATCAGAGTTTAGGGACTTATCATATTGACTCCCATCAAGTTTTTATACCTTTAGGACAATAGTTTATTGTCAAAATAGACTGATGAACAATGAATGATGAATGAGCACAGACTGATAGTCACTCAAATATATTTCATGAAAATCCACGATTGCCACCACCATATGAAGTCACAATATGCAAATTATATAGGTACATTTAATTCCTAAATAAACTTTGGGTCATTCTCATCATTTACATAAAGCCTCTACCTCTTTTCAATTTTAAGTTATTAAAAAATTTAAAGAAACCTGTGGCACCAAAAGGGTTAAAGTTGGATATTTTCTTTTATTACAGAGAATATTGCCTCCCTCTTTCAGTACCACAGCCCCTCCCTCCGCAGACCCCCCCTGTGTTCATTTGTGTTACATGCATGCAAATAACCCTGTTTAATTACAGACAAAGACCCTCTTGTACCCCTCCCTCTCCCATTTCTGCTGTTTATGATGTTTCCTGAGTCCGACCATGCAGTGAAACGAGCCCCTAATTTTGTTTTCCCTGTTGAATTGACGATTACATTCTCAGCTCATTAAGGGCCTGTTGTGCATAAATCATTACTAGTTAAACACAAGTCAACAACACGTATTAAAACACCGTAGATTTGATAATTTAGAGCAAAAACGTGAAATGTAGAGGGTTGGTTTTGAGATGACATTGTCCAGTTCGGGTTATGGTTTGAATGATTTTACATGCAAGGCGGACAGCTTGTAGATCAGCTTCAAATCTCTCGGCTCCTCTTGCCCAGATCAGTGACAGAATTTTTCGGTCATTAAAATCAGTCCCAAGGCGGCACGGAGACCCCCCCCCACGACACCTCCACCCCCCACCTCCACCTCCACCCCCCATGAGCCCTGTCTTTTTACAGTCTGGTCTCATGTCCTTTTGCCCGTCAATGCAACACGAGGTAGAGTGACTTGAAGCAAATACATACGTTTCAATCAATATTAGTGGCTTGTAAGATAAGATAAGATTTATTATTTAAGACTTTATTGATCTTTGATTGAGAAATGTGCATGTCACATTAGCACATCTATACTCAGATTGTGCAAAAAGACAGAAGTTTGCAACATGTTGAAGGTAAAAAATATAGTCTGCGCAGGATATAATTATGTACAATAAAAAAGTGGCAATAGCAGTGCGGGTTTTTCAGTGCATTAGTGACTTAAAGTGACTTATTGTACAGTCTGACACCCTTTTTTAAAGCTAAACCATTCTTGTATTCCCTAATAAATCTCTACATTCTTGTTGCGTGGCTCTCAGACGTCTGCTATGGCTGCTCTGGCATCATCAGCGTAAGAAGTAATTAAGTATGAATAATTAACACGATCGGCCCCCGACTGGGAGAGAGCACAGCGGCTTCCCCCGTGGCAGCAGTCGGACCCATCTCCCACAGCCAGCCCCCACCCTTCCACACAGCCAGCCCCCACCCTTCCACACAGCCAGCCCCCACCCTTCCACACAGCCGGCCGATGTGTGCCCCCTCCTCATTAGAAAAACCCAGCAGGAGCGAGCTGTGATCCAGGAGAGAGTATTTAGGGACTCCTGTATGTTTGATATTATTATTCAATTCACTTCAATGTATTTCTGTATCGCCCTAAATCACAACAGCGGTCGTCTCGGAGGACTTTACAAAGTTGTCAATTTGCCAACAGATCAGAGAATCGATCAATTGGGCCAGGTTGGTTGGGATATTTATACCAATGGCCTTTATAGTCAATTAATAAATCATTACGGCTTTTGTTTCGTCATTAAGCATACAGCCATACTATGAAGCCATATTATGTTTAGCAATTTATCATTGTGAAAGAAACTCGGAAAATTAGTCAAAGAAATTTGAGTTCTCAATATTGTTTGGGGACACACTTTGATGATGGTTATACACCTCCTTTCTCCTCTCTGTTCTCATGTTGTCAGTTCTCCTTAGTTGAGGTTTACACCGAGGGATAAGCCCGAGCTCTTGTAAGTGTGTATAAATAAACATGTCATTTGAAGCAGTAGTTTTCACCGCAGCTGTATACGGTGGTTGGTGTGTGGTTGTTGGGGTGTGGTTGTTTGTGTGTGGTTGTTGTGTGGTTGTTGGTGTGTGGTTGTTGTGTGGTTGTTGGTGTGTGGTGGTTGGTGTGTGGTTGTTGGTGTATGGTTGTTGTGTGGTGGTTGGTGTGTGGTTGTTGGGGTGTGGTGGTTGGTTTCTGGTGGTTGGTGTGTGGTGGTTGGTGTGTGGTTGTTGGTGTATGGTTGGTGTGTGGTTGTTGGGGTGTGGTGGTTGGTTTCTGGTGGTTGGTGTGTGGTTGTTGTGTGGTTGTTGGTGTGTGGTTGTTGGTGTCTGTTGCTAGGTGTGTGGTGGTTGGTGTGTGGTTGTTGTGTGGTTGTTGGTGTGTGGTGGTTGGTGTATGGTTGTTGTGTGGTTGTTGGTGTCTGGTGGTTGGTGTGTGGTTGTTGTGTGGTTGTTGGTGTGTGGTGGTAGGTGTGTGGTGGTAGGTGTGTGGTTGTTGGTGTGTGGTTGTTGTGTGATTTTTGGTGTGTGGTTGTTGGTGTGTGGTTGTTGTGTGATTTTTGGTGTGTGGTTGTTGTGTGATTTTTGGTGTGTGGTGGTTGGTGTGTGGTGGCTGGTTGTTGGCTGTAGTGTGACAGTGCTAAATGAACGGGTGAATGAGTAACAGGCTGTAATCTGCGGAGAGCACAGTGAAAACCTTTGCTCTCACTTCTTTTATGAGCCGTAGTTTTCACCGCTACAGTTTGTCCAGAGCTCAGCACAAGTTCATACAAGTATTTAAGATCCAAGCAATTAACAACACAAATTACTGCATTCATTTGTTGACTTAAGCTGTCAAACAAGAAGTAATTATTTGAGATTAATTTGTGTCAGAAAATGTGTTCAGTTCAGTTTATAACAAATACAAAATAAAAACACGCAACATTCATTTTATAATTAGTATATTTGTTAGTATAATTAGTTTATTTGAAGTATTTATTTGAGCTTCGAGATTAATTTATGGAAGAAAATATGTTCTGTTCAATTTATTACAAATACAAAATTCATTCATAACATTCATTTCATAATTAGTATATTTGAAAATGGGCAACACCCTTGAAGCAACATTTAGCTTAAATAAGGGCCAAGACGTTACACAGCACTAAAATATAAAAGCATTCATTAGAATTTCCCATCAACTTACTGTACCTACAAACAAATCTACGTGTACACACAAGAATAAACTTCTACTTTCTTGGACAACAGATGAAAAATAAGTGTTCATTACCACATACCGTCTCATTCAAAGAAACTGTAAAAAGGCAGTTTACCCATGATCACAGCCGCTTAAGATAAAGTAGTAACTTTTAGAAACGCCGTAGAGTATTCTTAGTTTAAATGCATTTTATTTTGTTGAAATGTATTAGTAATGATTGTTACGGGAGCTAGATTATGATTAGTTTTTAGGGGAAACCAAAGTACCAGATACAGGGAGAAAATGCAAACACTCAGAAGGGCCCTGTGCCAACCAGGTTTTGAACCTAGGACCTTCTTTCCGAGAAGCAAGGCTGCTAAACACCACTCAGCCCACTCAGTTCTTGCAAAACTACTGTATTTGATTTGTAACTTTGATTTTGTATGTGTTTGTGTGTTAGCTGTGCGGGCAGATCGAATGCGCGGCGGCCGGAACAAGTTTGGCCCCATGTACAAGCGAGACCGGGCCCTGAAGCAGCAGAAGAAGGCCCTGATCCGCGCTAACGGGCTCAAGATCGAGGCCATGAGCCAAGTCATGCAGGCCGTACCCACCGACCTCACCATCTCCTCCGCCATCCAGAACATCCACTCTGCCGCCTCCAAGGGCCTGCCCCTCACCCACCACGGGGGCCACCACACGGGCCACCACCACCACCACCACCACCATCACCACCACCACCCCACCGCCCTGCCCCCCACAGACTACGACCGCTCCCCCTTCGTCACCTCCCCGGTCAGTATGGCCATGCCCCCCCACACTGGCAGTCTGCAGGGTTACCAAACGGCATACGGACACTTCCAAAACACGCGCATCAAGTCCGAATACCCAGACCCGTACACCAGCTCCCCCGAGTCAATCATGGGGTACGCCTACGTGGACGCCTACCAGTCCGGCTCGCCCCCCAGCTTCCCCCACCTGATTGTGGAGCTGCTGAAGTGTGAGCCCGATGAGCCCCAGGTCCAGGCCAAGATCCTGGCCTACCTGCAGCAGGAGCAGGCCAGCCGCGGTAAACACGAGAAGCTCAACACCTTTGGCCTGATGTGCAAGATGGCCGACCAGACGTTGTTTTCCATCGTGGAGTGGGCGAGGAGCAGCATCTTCTTCAGAGAACTCAAGGTAGGCCTCATTTCGAAACGTACTTAGACCTTTTTGTGTTTTTCTAATCAATGCACACAACCACCGCTGCTCTGGAAGGGAGCGCAACCCTAGTTACACAACGCTTACAAGAAGGACTTTTCAGGCTCTGCCCTGCACCTTAGAGCCATAGTTCCATATAAAAAACACTAGCCCTAAACCTAACCCTTACCCATCCATCATTTATTATATTTCACCTTTATTTAACCAAGACAAATCCCATTGAGATTGAATAACCTCTTCTTCCAGGGAGTCCTGGCCAAGAGGCAGCTAAGTTATACTTAAACACAACAGACAGATAAAGATGTGTTTATTTTTTGACTATCAACAGTTTCTAAAGTAATCTCTAAGTTCTGACAGTGTGAAATCTATAAATAACGACATAGACAAAGCAATCTCTTCACATATCACACATCTCCATAGAAACAGCCAAAGGACCTTCATAGGAAACTTTTGGTGCACATCATGATTCATTTTTCCACGTAAGGCAGCCATGTAGCCACAGCTGCCTTGGGACACGATAACTCAAATCTGTCTTTACGGTGGCTACACAATGACACTTATCATTGGCCTCTTGTTTAATGCAGAGCTGTAGAAAATATACAAATATACAAATATACACCCAGCTTGTGATTCAAACTATTGGTTTGGGAGTTCTCTGTTGTGTTTCTGTGATTGACGGCACTTTGGACTCTCTCCACGTCCCCATCGAACATCTCCAACTCCCCTTTAATCTTTCCTTTTATGTTGTGGCTCAACATTAATTCTCGTTGCCGTGGCAGCTGTGGGCTGCGGGGTCCTGTTTGACACATGTGTCTGTCTCTGCCTGATCAAAATACAACACGCCGCCGTTTGTCACAGCGACTGACACGTTCCGGCGATTGGTTGTGAAAACTTTGACGAGGAGCTTCGGGCTCTTTTTAAACCGTGACTTTGTCCGAGGCTTTTATGTGAAAGGAAAACATTGTAACAGTGTAACATTGTAACATTGTCACAGTGTAACATTACAACAGTGCAACGTTGTAATGTTGTAACGTTGTCTTTTGAGTGAAGTAAAGCTTTGATTATAGATTTTTATTTTATGATTCTTTGTCACAGTTTTTACACATTCAGTCAATACAGTAAAGAGAAAAACTATTAAGTTGTCATACCTGCTGCGAAAGCCAGATCCTGTCTGACCTCTGGAGCTAAGCAGGGCAGGGCCTGGTTAGTACTGCGATGGGAGACCTGTAGGTGCCACAGTGGAGCGGCTGCGGCTGTAAAGTGCCAAACTGCCCACATTAGAATGAGTCTGGTGTGTGTGTGAATGGTGGGTGGTGGTGGGAGGGGCTGATGGCACAGACTGGTTGCCTCTCTTTTGTCAATGTGCCCCAGGGCAGCTGTGGCTACAGTAGTAGTTTATCACCACTGTGTTTGGAGTGAAAGAAAAATGATGTGAAGAGACTTTGAGAGTCTGAAAGTGCTGTTTGAAATGTAATTAATTAATAATTAATTAAGAGATCCTTTATTCGTCCCACAGGTGGGGAAATATCAGTGTTGCATCACAAGTTACAGAACAGTAGGAAAGAGGAGCACAAGATAAAAAAAAAAAAAGCTATACTAATTAAAATTAAATACTTTTTTTAACTCTAGCATCAAAGACACAAAACCAATGCATTTATTTTTATTATTTATATTTTATACAATCATGATTATTTACAAAAAAGACAACAAAATATTGAAATCCAAGTTGAAGCTAGTTTGTTTATTCTCTGGATGAAAACTGAGGTACACCACATTTTGAAATTTACATTTTGCTCATTCTTTTGTCCGGACACTCACTCGCTCTGTTCAAAAACTACAGTCCATTTAAAACACACACAAGAGCTCTCGAAACACACACGTTGACATTTAGCAAGCGCGGTTGCCAGATAATGACATTTGTGTGCGGCTGAATAGAGGATCATTGTGAAGGTGTGGTCACAGGAATTGCACTCATTTTATTAACGGTTAAACTGTGAATGATCATTTTTGCCACAGCCTCATTTTAATTCAATTACCGCCATCCACTCGCGTCGGTGGCTGAAGTGCGGCTCCGCGGAGTGTCATTATGTAGGTGTAATCTCCACATCACTGCTCATCGTAATTAAGATGGATCCGTGGAACAAAGGTAGAAAAAATGACCCGAGTGTTTATGCAGTTTCTCCCGCCCTCATGTTGTGTTGATAATCAGACTAAACAGCATTTTTTTACTTAACTGTCTGGGATTAGATTCTATAACTGTAAAATAAAAATGCCCGTCCATGATTTCAGGAAATTCCAACTTTAAGAACGCTATAATTGAATAGTTTTCCTTGAGTTAAAATGTGCTTCATAAATAAAGTGGATTGGATGAATTGAAAGTATGTTATAAGTGTCTTTTTTAACCAATAGAATAACATACAGTAAAGGATGGATATCTACACAACACAAACACAACAGTCCGACTTTCTGGTTGGGTCATTGTGGACAATAATTAACAGGGGTGTCCAAAGTTTTTAGCAAGAGGGCCTCTTTAGTTCATCAGACTTGACCTGTATTTTAAAACTGGACTCAGTGGATTCTAGAATTTAAAATGGTTACGATTCGTCCTTATTGATCCATAGCTGCTTTATGTGGAATGTTGAGACACAATCCTAAACAAATGTCAGTAAAAAACAATAAAGTAAACGACTGGATTCCAGAAGGTCTGAGGTTTACAACAAGGTATAACATGACTGTGTTGGTGGCGCTGAAGTTGGCAGGATGACACTGTCAAAGTGCCTCAATGGCGACTTTGTGTTAGCAGCAGAGGGCCACATTAAATGACACAGAGGACCGCGCTTGGCCCACGGGCCTGAGTTTGGACATGCCTGATCTAGATGTGATGCTAGGCTAGTAGCTGAGAGAACAATTATTTAGACCAGAAGAAGATTCGGCCACGGAGCCACAGCATGTGAATAAAACACATACAAGAAAAAATATATATATTAATTGTATTCTCAGGGTCTATAAATAATAATAATGATATAAAAATCTTTATTTGTCTGGCAATAAAAAAAAAACAATGTTTACAAAGCGCTGCACAGTCAGCAAAATAAACAATGAAACATTCGTAATACAAAGTCAAAATAATTAGATACAGGTGAGGGATACGATAATAATATCTTCTGGCCACCCTGGGAAAGCCATGTTCCAGCTTCTTCCCTCTGGCAGAAGATATTGCTCTCTGAGATGCAGGACATCTCGTTACGCTAACAGTTTTTATCCACAAGCTGTCATCAGTGGGAACAGAGCACTTTAAGGATTTGGACTTGTTCTGAACTGTTTTAGTCGATCGATTTCACAGTGACATTTGTTTACTGCTTTATTTGTTTTATTTTTGTCTTTTAATGTTGTTTTATGTCTTTATTTGTCTGTGCACACTGGAGACTTTTGCTAATGTATTCCAATGTGGGTTTTTTTACTGCAAATGGCAAATAAACTGAATCTGAATCTGAATCTAATATGCATTGATATAAATAGAGCAATATATAGTACAAAAAGAAAATAAAAAAACAAAAAGTGTCCTTTAAGTGTATTTTAAGTTCCTTATAGAGTCTGTAACAAAATCCTGTTCCCGCAATATTAATAATACATAAAATAACACATAAATATATAACGTCAAGAAATGTGGGTTACATAAACAATACATTCCATAAAAAGTGTGTGTTTTATTCTTTGCAAACAGGATCAAACCTCTATCGCACACATTTCCTGCTTTGCCCTGAAGTGACCAATAAATGAGTCCCGGAGATGGACACCAGAAAGACAGGAAGCCCGCACCAGAATAAAACATGGTCACAGGAGTGTAGGAAACCATAAACGCTCTTTCATCTCACACACATTACCACATTAAGAAACAGACAGCCACTCGCACATCCCACCGCCTCCTTTCTATTATTATCCCGCTAAGACAAAAGAATCTCTGCCATGAAACAAAGCCAAGAGTGTGAGGACTGTTTGGGGACGGAGCCAAAATACTTAAAGATTCAGTTTCCATGAGTTACCCCCGGTCAACATTCTCATAAATATAATAATACAACCTTATGAGCGCCTTCAAAAAGCAATATTCCTCTCTACAGCAGTGACATCATTGGGTTTTTCTGGCAACGAGGCGTGACCAAATTTTCTCGCACCTTTTGGATTTCAGACAAACTGAAAAATCAGGTTTTGATTATGGAAAGTTGTGTCAGCTGTTTTTAGAATCATAGCACATTGTTGGGAGAAAGTTGGCAAGATTTTAAGTCACTATTGAAAATGAGTTCAAGACAGGTGCGGGTGCCAGATGCTGTTTGAAATGGGTTGCCTTTGTGGTTAGAAAAAAGGATTTAAGACAAAATAATAGAGTTTTATGAGACTTTTGGATTATTTGCATGGGCAGAGGAATTACATACTGTATGGAGAGATATGCCCTTAACCCTGAATGTGCCTCGGTCCTGCTGTGACCTTACCCAGCCTGTACCCACTCTGCCCCCCCACCACCCCCACGACACACACACACACACACACACACACATTGGCCAAGACTCCACATAGTGTTAATTTGTTGATTAAGCCTAAATCACGACACATGCTGCATGAACTGTCGGACATTTTGTGGCCTTGAAGAGACTCATATCTGAAATGCACTGGTCTCTGGTATTTTTTAGCAGCCTTGCTAACTGCAACACTTGAACCCAGCCCTGCTTCCAACACAATAGAAGGGCCATGGAGACTATCTGTGATTCATGTGTTTATATCCCTCTTTCAGAATCCTTCTTCCTCTCAGCACCTTTTAACTCACACAATAACTACAGCTGTTTTTACTTTATTGTTACTTTATCTTAGTAATCTTCTTATTATACTGTAAATAACATTGCAATCTATATATATATATTTATAGAGACAGACAGAGAGAGAGAGAGAGAGAGAGAGAGAGATAGAGATAATTTTCTGAAATATGATGGTCCAAAAGTGGCTCTTGGCCCAAAGCTAGACCTGTTTGTAGGTGAGCAAAAACTTATTCCTCACCATTATTTGCAAATAGGTTCTTTAAAAATGTAATTTTCTGGATTTTTCTTTTTTTAACTCATTCTGTCTTTCATAGTTGAAGTTTACATATGATAAACACAAGCCTCCATCGACTTTTTAATTTGGAGAACATGCACAACTTATGTCTGACTACATACTTTTTCCCCACTGTACATTTATTGTTTATATATGTGGTTTGATTAGGTTTAGGAAGACAAAACACTTTAACAACTACTTTTTCGCAGCTTAGTATAATGTTTTGTTTTTGTAGTTTGACATATCCGTTGGAAATGACCCCAGTTTAGAGCGTCACCTAAAATACGATGTAACTTTATACATATATTTAGTGCGTCCACCTGATAAAAGTGCAGCTCAGAGGAAACGACTCCTGACATTTTGAAATGTGGCTGTGCTGTTTATTTTAGTCACCCAGGGACACTTTGGGGAGGCATCCACTCAGGTTTGTGTGCTTCGCTGTCTCTGTTCTTGACTTTCTTTCTTTTTTCATGCCGGTTTTGTCTCGCCGCATGTTGTAGGAATGGCAAAAGCAGAACGTCGGGCCATTAAGTTGAGGAGAAACTGTATTAGAAGTGGCGTTCTGTGGGAAAGCTCCCAGCTGAGAGGGGGCCGCCATATTGGATAAACAGATGGTGCGGGAGGAGGAAGAGAAGAAGCGAGGAGGTGAAACAAAGACAGGAAAGATGAGAGGAATGTGCCGAGAGGGAGAGATGTAGAGGATGCTTCAGAGATCAGAGCAGAACACAAGTGTGGACAGACACGTGAAAGTGCAGAGAGTTGTGTTCCGCAAGTTTGGAACGATAACAACTGAAAAAGCATAACATCAACTAAAACTAACTTTCAAAGCACAACTAATTGAACTTGAGAATGATAAATCCATCTATCTCTAGTTTTCACACGTACGTTTAGTCTCTGTCAAAGTAGAGAGCCACTCTGAGCCAATCAGCTCCTTATGCCAATGTAGCCTGGTCTTACCAAACCATTGTACTCATTTCATTTCATACAAAGGTCTGGATTTGCTCCATTGACTCCGTTAACAGGTGGGAGGGGTTAACTCCTTTTGCAGATTGAAACCATTGGATCTGAGTTTACTGTGACGTATGTACTGAGCCCGGTGGGGGTGTACCCGGAAAGAGAATTACCCAGTGCTTTTGTAAGGCGCCTTCTTTCATCAGGAAAGTTCCAGATGCTGTTGATGTTGAGGGGAGTATTTGTTTTTGGACCAGTCTAGTTTAGCCGCTGTGGACTTTTGAATGCACTCATTTGATGAATGGGACTCATGCAGCGAACACATTTTCTCCGCGGACATGTTGAAAAAGCCACAGAAGGTAAAAGTGATGTCACATTAGTTTAAACAGCGGAGATAAGAGTGACTACGTCTGTTAATATTTACAATCTATGTTCCTGAGGCCAAAACAAGACATGTGAAAACTAGACCCAAACTTTTTTAAGATCAAGAAAATATTGGGATGTCTTCCATTCATCCAGATTCAGATTCATCCATTTTGAATCTGTGTGTATTCTTGTTTACGCCGGACTACCCCCCGTCCTCCTCCTGTATGACCCGTGTAGGACCAGTTTAATTTGCGCTGTGCACCCATGTGTGGGACTGCACAGAGGTGGAGGGCGTGTTGTGTGTGGGGGGGCATGATAGGGGGGATCTGCGGTGACCGGGGACTACACCTTTGCTTCACACCCCATAACTGAGGGGAAATAATAAGGCGCTTTAGCTGTGACCTGTGAACTCCAGGAAGCGCTTTAAATCCCCACCTCCTGAGCCCGCAATGTCTTGTCTTGTCATAGAGGTCACCCCCCCCCCTGCTCCGCCCCGCCTCCTCCAACCCAATCTGACAACCCCAACACGATAGACTGAGGCTGTGATGTGGTGCAGATTTGTAGTGTCCTTGGTCCATCTACATTTGAATCATATGAAAGTATAGTTTATTACATCACTTCTTCTTCTCTCATTTCACATACACAGAATTTAACCGTGTTTAATTTGACAATAAAATATGACAGTGACATAGACGGATAAATATGACAACTGTTAATAAGAAGAAGAAAAACAATTTTTGATTGATTTTGAATGTTTTTGATTGATTTCGATTTTGAATGTTGATTTGATTATTTTGACCCTCAGTTGACGGGCAAATTTAAGTTTTATAATTTATTTATATAAATTATGTACGTTTTTCATCAGCCTTTTACTGGATTATTCCATTTGGAGATTCCAAGACAGTCAAACTACTCAAATTTGGATAAACACTTATATATACACTGCAAAAATATGACAAAATATAAAAACCTTTAAAATGTTTGTCTCATTCCAAAGAAGACATTTCAGATTTTCATTGTATTTTTTTAAAGCAAGAAATTTTTCTTGTTCCATCGTTAAGTCATGTTTGTCAAAATATACTCAAATTAACAAAAAAGCATTTTATTCAAACATTTATTTTATTTTATTTTTTTATAGTTTTATCATTTGGCAGTATCAAAATAACATAAGAATCTAAAATACGAGCAGAGGTTTAGATTTGTCCGGGTTGAATACATTCTTCCATAAGAAAAGTCTTATTTTGGCTTGAAATATTTCAGATCAATTGCTGAAGAAACCAGTTTGAAGAATAGATTTGCTTCGTTCCCATTGAAATATAAAAAAGACATCACTAAAAATGCGCAAAGACTGTAAAGGGCGGCTCTAAAATCTGGATTTCAAGCAAAAGGATCAATTGATAAAGTATGTTTACCTCGTATAGAGCTTTTAGATTCAGCCCATTTCAACTGAAAACTAATATTACCATATTAAAAAAGAACTACACTGCAAAAAATGATGAAAAATAAGTCAGAAAGGGTTCAAATTTGATTCTTAATTCTTAATCTGAGCACATTCTGCCTCTCACAATATTATCTTATTATTATTTTCAGATTGTGACTTTAATGTTATTTTTTGTATTTATAGTGAAATACTATGCAAGCTACTGTGACAACGCAATTTCCCTGTGGATCCATAAAGTCTGTCTAAGTCTAAAACAAAACTTTCCAAAAAGACAAAACAAAATGATCTTGTTTGAAAAAGATACAAGAAATGTCTTCCTTGAAATTATAAAATAAAGCAACAGTTCTTAAAATAAAACTACAATTTTTTGTCCCACAGTCAATTCAATCCATTTTTACATCTTATTTCATTCTTTTTTGCAGTGTATTCACTGTATAATAACATAATATATAATTAAATTTGAAACGATGGCGGGTCCGAAGAGGCGGTGAAGACTTGGCAAGGTGTGGGGGGGTCAGGAAGACAAACCGTGGGGGGCAGAGTGACCAAGGACAATAGGAGGAGGCAGAAGTACATGGGCATAACAAAGGGGGGAGAAGGGGGGAGAAGTCAGGGGGAAGGTGTTGGAGGTGGATGGGGGCCGAGAGGGAGCGACGGGGGGAACAGGTGGAAGGTTAATGGGCCTGGAGCGGATCCACCAGGCGCTCGCTGGGGCTGATATATAGTCCTGGAGACCGGCGCGGGCGTAGGCTTTCAAAGATATATTATTTCATTTGAGGAGCACAAACCCCCCCCCCTCCCTCGCTGCTTCCCCACTGTCCCAGACCAACTGACCCCCCCCACAGCTGAGCATTTGTTCTGTGATAGATGACACGTGTAGGGTCTGCAGTATCCCCGGCTCACTTTGAGGCTTAAAAGGGTTATATAATAACCCTTTGGACGTCCACAGTTTGACTTCTTGTTCCTACTGTTCGCACTGGGGTTAGGGCAGGCATGTCCAAGCTCAGGCCCAGGGGCCAATTGCGGCCACCGTCTCCTTTTATGTGGCCTTCTGCCTTGCTAGCCTGGTGTTAGCTATCCGTAAATTCCGGTCCATGATCATTTCCTGCATGTACCTTCTGGGTCTAGTCCCAGTGTCCGCAAATACATCGATTGAATCTCCTCCGACCAATCAGAGAGCGGGGGAGGCGGGTGTTATAGGTAGGTGTCGGTGACGTCAAGAGTTTGTGCTGAATTTACTGGTTGTAGTTTGTTGGAGAATGCAATAGTAAAATAATCTGTTCTGGTTCAATCCAAATATCAAGTTGTCATTACTTAGTAAATGTCATTGAAGCAAAGATGTTATGGCTCTACTCCCCACGGGCTCCGTTAGTGGCAAAGGAGATGGCTAAAGCTAGACTAAATGCTAAAGCTAGGCTAAATTATAAAGCTAGGCTAAATGCTAAAGCTAGGCTAAATGCTAAATGTCTCGCTCACTCGGGCTCATTACATACATCACAGTAAACTCAGATCCAATGGTTTCAATCTGCAAAAGGAGTTAACCCCTCCCACCTGTTAACGGAGTCAATGGAGCAAATCCAGCCCTTCGTACAAATGAAATGAGTACAACGATGCGGTATGAGGGTGCTGCCTTGATAACCCAACGTAGGAGATGAAAAGTACAATTTAACTGTGTCATCCATCCAACTTCAGCTCAGCCAATATAGACATGTCGTACCTCGTCCTAAAGCTCAGTACGTCTGGAATTCATTCATTGACCTGTGAGATGGTAAACATGTGTCATTCAGCCAACTTCAGCTCCGTTATAGATCAGTTTAAAACTCAGAACAGCCCGATGTCAGTCCAGACAGTTTTTCAGTCTGTGACGTCGGTCCCTGAACTAGTCCGACCTAAAGTGGTTCTTACTAAAATGTTTGGACACCCCGGGATTAGGGTCTTACCGTAGCCGCCTGTGGATTTGTTTTTAAGTTGCTTTTTTAGTTGTAACAATATCTTTATGATTTGCAGCACTGGGCCTGAGCCGGGTTCGGGGCGAGTGGCACCCGGCTTCACAAAGACCTTTTTTTATTCAGAAATTATTGACAACTGCACGAGGCATCGGAGCTCCGGTCATAAATACTGGAAAAGGACATGTTGTGTGTCTGGATGTCTAATAGATGTCTTTGATTTGTTTTTGAGTTGACCAGAAAGGACGAAAGTTAGAGCTGCCACATCTTTACACTCTCTTAATCAATAGGCCTGGACTACATTTAAAGTCTGCACTGCCAAAAAGGGATAGAAAATAAATCAAAAATGGCTAAAATTTGGTAAACTATATCATTATTTGAGCACATTCTGATATGCAAATGGGACAAAGCAAAATAATCTTGTTTCACTATTGAAAGAACATAACTATTATGTTATTACTAATTTATACAGCCTTATACAAATGAGATTTCATGTTTTATAACAACCCTTTCCACAGATAGACAACAGTTTCATCAAAGTCCAAGATCAAATGTATTTAATTCAAGCTTGTTTTAGAGGCTTTTTGTTGTTAACACTTATTATAATATTACTGCTCAGTCTTTCACTATTCTGCATTATGTAAATCTAATGCACTAGTCTCTCCATGGCCTTGCTCCAAAGTATGTAAGTCCTAAGTCTTGAGGAGCACAGGGACTGGCCTCCTACTGGGACTCTGAGGAGCACAGGGACTGGCCTCCTACTGGGACTCTGAGGAGCACAGGGTCTGGCCTCCTGCTGGTCCTAGAGTCGGAACTAAACATGGGGAACAATCTTTCTGAAAATGTGAGACAGGCCTCTTCTCCAAATCCAGGTTAAAAATAGTTCTGTTTAGCTGTGCATTATTATTTATTTATTATTATTATTTTTGTATTGTTTAAATTATTTTTACTTTTTTCTGCGCTTGGAGTTGTTGTTCCTTGTGTATGAAGTATGCCAAACAAACTCACCTAAAAAGTAAAAAGTCATCCCAAAAAAACTGTATTTTCCCAAAGTCTTCACCTGCCAGTCGGGGATGCAGCCAGGTTTCCCAAGCTCTGGACCGGTCCCTTCGGTCCATTTCCCCGCAGAGTGTGCAGGTCTTAAAAGGAGGACTTGTTAAAAGAGAAGATTTAGGGTCCCGGGTCCCACTGGGGCCGGTGCTGTGAGGAGACTACAGGGGTTAGGCCCAGAGTCTGCTGCTCCACTTGAGGCTTTGATGAGGGATGAAAGGCTGTCACGAAGTCCGTCTTTACAGAGCGCTGGACGGTGATGGACTCGGCTGTTCTCCACGTTTCCCATGGAGCCTCTGCTGTTTTCGTCTGAAGATGAGGTTCTCAGGAAACCCACAGAAATTACGTTTATTCTGTGTTTTCATGAAGGAAAGAAATGGTGAAGGTATCGGCTGTGGCCATGAGAAGTAGGAAAGAAAAGGATACAACGGTTTATGCATTACACTTAATACTTTAACACGCACAGCAGAAGTAGAACCATTGCTTTGAATGTAATTTTAAAACATTCTTCCGGTCAGTATTTCTTGATAACAGACTCAAACCAATGATGACCGCTGCCCTTTGGCAACACACTTTGTGCTTGTGCTTCACGTGTGTAAAGATCACTCTGTAAGTAGGCCGTCCACTTTGTCTGTCACTACTTCTGTCTCTGAGAAGCTATCGGTGCTACGCTAGCTTTGCTAACGCTAATGGGAAAATACATTATACATAAACATTCTTAACACACAGAGGTTTTCAGAATGATCCGTTCATGTTCTCATGACAATTTTTTTTTTTAAGTGACTGCGTTGAACCAGGAAGTAATTCTTAACATAAATAAATATTTAGGACGTTTACAGAGGACATGATTATGGATTTAGAGTTTATTTACGGGTCACTCACCGCTGATGTTCTCTGTGTTCTGTTCATACAGTTCCAGGAAGTTCTAGTTTTGAAATAGCTAGCCTAGCTGTTACTAGCCTAAATGTTACTAGTCTAACTGTTACTAGCCTAACTGTTACTAGCCTAGCTAGCCATGTGGCAAGAGCTCTGGTGTGTGTCGTCTGGTGCACACCGGGGTAGTCTTGCACAGTTTTTCCAATGTGGTTTTACTGCAAATGGCAAATAAATGAATCTGAATCTGTTACTAGCCTAGCTGTTACTAGCCTAGCTGTTACTAGCCTAAATGTTACTAGTCTAACTGTTACTAGCCTAGCTGTTACTAGCCTAGCTGTTACTAGCCTAGCTGTTACTAGCCTAAATGTTACTAGTCTAACTGTTACTAGCCTAGCTGTTACTAGCCTAGCTGTTACTAGCCTAAATGTTACTAGTCTAACTGTTACTAGCCTAGCTGTTACTAGTCTAACTCTCACTAGCCTAGCCGTTACTAGTCTAACTGTTACTAGTCTAACTGTTACTAGTCTAACTGTTACTAGCTTAGCTGTTACTAGTCTAACTGTTACTAGTCTAACTGTTACTAGTCTAACTGTTACTAGTCTAACTGTTACTAGCCTAGCTGTTACTAGTCTAACTGTTACTAGTCTAACTGTTACTAGTCTAACTGTTACTAGTCTAACTGTTACTAGCCTAGCTGTTACTAGTCTAACTGTTACTAGTCTAACTGTTACTAGCCTAGCTGTTACTATTCTAACTGTTACTAGTCTAACTGTTACTAGCCTAGCTGTTACTAGCCTAGATGTTTCTAGCCTTGCTGTTACTCACCTCTCACTCCACTCATAGAAGGAGCAGTCGGTACAGGAGGCACATGTCAGACCTATTGTACATGTTTTAAGTGGTAGGGGAAACCGGAGCACCCGGAAAAAACCAGAGCAGCCTCTCCGTCTTTGGGGAATCTGTCTCTCTCTTATACATCAAGCTGCATCTCAACCATTTGTTAAAGGCCTAGAATGTAAGAAATAAACCCAAATTATTTGTGTAATTATTGCTCTTCTAAAAGAAAAACATTACATTGCTTTCTACAAGGAGAGAATGTTACAGGGATAAACAATAAGCAATGGACACACTATAGTAACACAACAGACCCACTTCTCTGGATTGAAGCAGTCGAATCCAGAGACAATCAAAAGACAAATAAACCGTGGTTTTGTGTCTTACTTTTGTCCATTTGGAGCCGAGTGGCTGATGAGGAATGATGAAGAATAAGGGGTAGAAAATGCACTTGTGTAGTTTAAACTCCGTCTGATGCACATTTATGTTCACATTTATGAGCACTTTGGGCGTTTGGTGCAAAGGGAGAGTGTGGTGTTTAAGTCTTGTTTGGGGATGATCAGGGTAAAAGCCTTTTTTATTGGCAGGTCATGGTTCTTAATGCGGAGGCACAGGTGAGGCAGCGTGAGGTGAGGCAGCGGGAGGGCCTCAGCGAGGTCTGAAATCAAGCCGTAAGAAAAGAATTAGGCTTTAAAAGAAGAGGCTTTGGAAGTTTGCAAACACATTTAGTGGAAGCACTGTAGGAATATTCTTTTTGGTGTAAATTAGCACTGCTGCTACAACCTGGTACAATGCATCTCTCCTTTTGGCTTATGTTTATTGTACACTGTCCCTGTAAAAATAAAAACCATTACAAAAATATAATAGAACAATAAATGGATTTTTGCACAATACACGTGTATGGTATCATAGTTTTCTGGGATCAAAGCAAGTGCTTTAGTCTCCGTGTGTGGTCAGGGTGATTGCACGGTCGGGACAATCCTTCTTCCATTTCCCCCTTCGAATCAGAGTAAGAATGAATATTTAAATACGAGTTTCTCCATCAGGACAAAAACTAATCTGCACAGCTCACTACACATTTAGTGGAAGTACTGTAGGAATGTTCTTTCTTCTCTGGACTTTGTGTCTGTAATAAAGTTGAATAATGAATAAATATAAATGTGTTCTGCTTTTAGTCATGTATATATACATAAGAAAAAAAAAATCTTTTTTACCGAAAGAGTCCGACAGAGTCTGAGAGAGACCGAGAGAGTCCAAGAGAGTCCGAGAGAGTCTGAGATAGTCTGAGAGAGTCCGAGAGACCGAGAGAGTCCAAGAGAGACAGAGAGACCGAGAGAGTCTGAGATAGTCCGAGATAGTCAGAGAGAGTCCGAGAGACCGAGAGAGTCTGAGATAGTCCGAGAGAGACCGAGAGTCCGAGAGAGTCCGAGAGAGCCCGAGAGAGTCTGAGAGAGACCGAGAGAATCCGAGAGAGTGGCAAACAAGAACAAAGAACGACAACAAAGTAGAAAAAGAAACAAGCACGGTAATACACAAATATACAGTATGTTTTGGTTTTATTAACAAAAATCCAGCTGGAAAAAGAGTGAGAAGAAGCCAAGACTGTATCTCACTCATTATGTATTTCACAATCGACAATTCTCTGGACCTTTGCAAGCATGAAATGGTCCACAGCGACAAACAGCCTCCACTTAAAGGCTTTGTTATCTATGTCCAGGCTGGAGGCTCCAAAAGCAATAAATAAACGGAGAGAGAAGTGCCAACGTTTTGCTTTTAAATAGCCCGGTGCTCTAGGGTTTCTCAGGGGTCGGGGGGGGGGGGGGGGGGACCTGTGCCGACCCACACCACCCTAAACCAAACTCAACACACTCAACTATGCAAAGCTGTCATCTCATTTATCTTCACCTTGATGCCGCTCGGGCCTGTCCTGTCTAAGTTTAGAGACGGACTTTTATTCTGTATATAAGGAAAGAAACACGGAGAAAATTTAAAATTGGTGAGACTTATTGACAAAAAATGACATAAATGATGCTGATTTTTCAAAGAATTTTTTTTGCTTGAATGTAGTTTGTTGTGTAAGATTATTTTACTAGTTTTAAGATACTTCAGAAACGTATTAGAGAAAAAATCTGAATCTGAATCTGTCAGTTCGATAATCACAATCTACCAACATTTTGATGGTTTTTCCAGTGAAATCCATATTGTACAAACCAAAATCCCCTGAAAAACATAAGGAAAATAATCTATAAAAATGAGTAAAATGCTGCTTAAAATAATAAAAATGATCTGCCAAAAGAACAAGAAAATATGACTTAAGATTTCTGAAAATAATCAAATAAAACTAGCCCCAAACGACTTGATTCGAGTTTAAAAACATACATTTCAAGTATTATTTACTTATTTCTTAAATTTTGTTGATGTTTTCTTAAAATACAGCATCACAAACTTATTTTATTTAAACAAGAAAAGTCTGGAACTGATAAAAAATACCTAAAACAAGCTTAAAATCTCACTGCTCCAACTTTTTTCTCTAATAAGATTATTAATTAATTATTTTCTTAAAACTAGTTAAATGATCTTAAGACAAACTACATTCAAGCAACAAAAACTTAAAAAAATTGCATCATTTATGTTATTTTTAGCAAATAAATCTGACTAAATTTCACTTTTTTCAGTGTATTTCTACCCATACACAATCGCATGCTGTTAATGCATTGTCCAGCAGTAGCCTTTTTAAATAAGCCTCGTGCATCTAAAGTTCCAACATTGCGTGGCCTCAATTATGCGCCTGTAATCCACGCAGACCCGCGGTTGGCCCGGTGTCTGCCGCTTCCGTCACCGTCCTGTCACCAGTTGTCTTTCTATGTCTATTTTTGATGTTTATTTACGGCCTGTCCTGTTCTATCTCAGGCTGGTTCTGGGGAAGGGCCGCTGCAGCAGAAGACAATAGACACGACTTGGCCCTCCTTTTGGCCGGTGAAAAGAGAGTGATTGAATTTGCCTTTCGATGACTGATGCTGGCAGAGAGCGCCGTAACTCTAGACACCGCGGTCGTGTTGTGACGATGGGCGAGAAATTTCAAATGTGCAAACGGCAAGTGGAGCGAGAAAAGGCCTCTAGGCAAAGTAGGACAAAGACACCTGTTCTGCATTCTCCTCCGCGCTCTCATTAATAAAAAAGTCTTCATATCCCGTATGTTTTTAACTCCACTCTGCGGCATTTTTTATTAATCTCAAGCTGTTGCGTCTATATTACCTACCTCTTTTTTCCCCTAAGAGCGACAATCCTGGCACTAGTCGCAGCTAAACGATTCCATCCGTGCAAAATAAAGGCACTAATAATAGCTGTTACGGCGGTGCGGGGATATTGAGGGATAAAAAGCAGATTTCCAAAGCAAAGCCGCAACAATAACGAGCGATAAAATAAATCGCGGACTGGCTCTGGAACGCGTGGACAAGACCGTAAAAAACCACCAGGACCAAAGTATTGAAGAGGGTCCAAGGCGACAGGTTTTCAGGTGGCACGCCGCAATTTCACCTTCCCTGAGGCCAGACATTTTATAGTCCACATGTTTTGCCGCATTTGTCCTCATCATAAGAGCACCAGCCGGGCCCAGCGCCGCCACAGCTGCGCTATAGAAAGATGTCTCTATTCTCATACTAATGTCAGCTGAGGCCTGGTTCAGGACCAGAGAGGGTCCATCTGCTCTGCCTCCGCCTCCGCCTTGGACTAAAGCTCGTTCCGTATCACAGGAGATCGGGAAAGACTCAATTAGTTCATCAGATATTTAATTTGGGTTTGGAGAGCCGTGATCACAGCCATGTTTTGGACCAGTGCCATTTTTCTGTTGTTCATTTGTTCTGCCGTAGACCCACCCCCCACGCAGAGAGAGTATGATCTCAGAAGCTCCAGGACTAATGTGTCTCGTCTCAGACTCGACGTTTTAAAGCAGATGAAGATGGACCATGTGGGTTTCTCTGGTCCATGAGGATGTGATGTTTTGATAGTTTGACTGGACCTGGGTGGTTTTAAACGGGCAATCAGATTATCATCAACAATTGGGGCGTTAGTTGGTCTGTAAGTTTGTTATAGGTTATTACTTAATTCATTTTTGGTATGTTTTATGTAAATACATGTGTACGGACAGAACTGGATCAAAGCTAAAGAATTTCGTATATTGATTTGCAGATAATTTTGTTTTTAAAGATGAAATGATATAAATGATGTACGGTAAATCTTTAAAATAAGGTATAACATTCATGGGAACACATTGACTTGGAAGCCCGTCTTTGCTTGGCTGACATATCAGTCATCCAATATATAAAAGAAGGTTAAATGGCGCAATGATAATAATGATGACAGTTTTCTTCTGTAAGTAAGTAAGTAATATTTATTTATATAGAGCCTTTTTCCAGACCAGAGTCACAAAGCGGTTTACAATTGTGGGCATTAGTTGCTCACTACATGTTTTTAGTGGTAGGGTAAACCGGAGCACCCAGAGGAATCTTACATTGGAGAACATACAAGCTCCACTCAGAAAGGCCCTGTTCCGACTGGGATTTAAACCCAGGACCTTCTTGCTGAGAAGCGATAATAATAATCCCATTAGGAACGATCAAATGCAATACACACTTATAGATGCATGGATAGATAGATAGAGCGATAGAGTGCATTTAAAAGAAAAAAGTACAACAACTATACCTATTTTCATTCTTATTGCTTTCAGTAATGTTCCCTGATTTGTTTTGTCAGATCAGTGTTGATACACTTTCTCACAGACTGTATTCAGCTCGTTGCTCATGTCGTGTGGATGTGGAGGAGGCTCCGGTCCTGCCTCGGAGCTTGGTGCGTTCGCTGCTGTTGGGACACACACTTCCCGACTGCATCAGAGTTAGCTGCTAATGCTGCTGTGAATAATGGATTAGGGCCTTTCTGTGTTTTTGATAATTAGTTGGTAGTTTCAGAGCTCTAAGCCCCGAGATTTCTACTGTGTGTGTGTTTAAGAGTGTGTGGGTGTAGGTGTGTGTCTGTGTGTGTGTGCCTGTCAGTGTTTGTGTGTGTGTGTGTGTGTTTGTGTGAGAGTGTGTGTGTGGGTGTAGGTGTGTGTTAGAGAGTGTCAATGTGTGTGGGTGAAGGTGTGTGTGTCTGTCTGTGCGTGTGTTTGTGTGTGTATGTGTGTGTTTGTGAGTGGGTGTGTGGGTGTAGGTGTGTGTATGTGTGCCTGTGTGTGACTGTCTGTCTGTGCGTGTGTTTGTGTGAGTGTCAGTGTGTGTGGGTGGGTGTGTGTCTGTCTGTGCGTGAGTCTGTATTTCTGTCTGTCAATGTTTGTGTGTCTGTCAGTGTGTAAGTGTCATAAAAAACAAAACAAAATTTTACTTTACAGTGTTATAGTTTTTGTAGTTTTTTCTTGAATCCAAACTGAGCAACAACATTTGATGGAACAATGTTATCCTTGAGAATTTGATTTTTACAATTTTGAATTCTTAAAAAAAACATTGGCTTTGATTATTCTTTCCCCTGAATAACCAAAAACATGATTGTCACCTGAAGTAAACAAAATAAAATCCTTCGAGCTCCTCTCTCTCTCATTGATTTCAATTTCACATCATGTTAAAACTGAGCGGCTGCTTAACGGGGCCGCGACCACACAAAGAAGAGGCTTCGCTGCCACTGTCTGCGACCTTCAGAAAAACAAATACACAAATCCTTCTTTCGCTTCTGCAGATTCTGAAATCCACAAATCCTTTTTTTCCTTTTGGATCAGAAGTGGTACAATTATTGATGTTGTGTCTGGGCTGGTTCACATGAAGGTACAAAAGTGTGACAGAGGTTAGCACTCTCGCTTCTCAGCAAGAAGGTCTTGGGTTCAAATCCCGAATCTTTCTGAGTGAAGTTTGTATGTTCTCCCTGTGTCTGCGTAGTTTTCCTCTGGGTGCTCCGGTTTCCTCTGCTTACAATAGTTCAGGATGAATGAGTGTGTGTTTGAATGAGCACATAGAGGAAACCTACGCAGACATGGGGAGAACATGCAAATTCCACTTTGAAAGGTCTTGTTCCGACCAGGATTAGAACCCAGGACCTTCTTGCTGAGAGGTGCTAACCACTCAGCCACCGTGTGTTATGAATGCTATAGTTAACATTTAATGCAAATATTGAACCTTACCAACACATTTAGCATAAAGAATTCCACAATACCGCCTTAATATTGTACAGTACAAATACAAATTCTAAAAAGACAGGATTGTAGTGTTCACGACCCATCGTTCTGTGCATTTGGAATTTATTGAAGACGTTTAAATCTCAGCGACCGTCAATAAAAATGTGTTTGCGTCAGGAGTTTCTCAGTGGCCCGTTCTCATGCTGCTGGGGGATGCTGGAAGGGGGGAGGCTGGGGGAGGCAGGCTGGAGGGGGGGAGGCTGGGGGAGAAAAGGTGGTGGAGAGAGGCTGGAGGAGAGAGGCTGGGGGAGAGAGGCTGAGGGTGGGAGGCTGGGAGAGAGAGGAGAGAGGCTGAGAGAGAGGCTGGGGGAGAGAAGCTGGAGGAGAGAGGCTGGGGGAGAGAGGCTGAGGGTGGGAGGCTGAGAGAGAGAGGCTGGGGGAGAGAGGCTGAGGGTGGGAGGCTGAGAGAGAGAGGCTGGGGGAGAGAGGCTGAGGGTGGGAGGCTGAGAGAGAGAGGCTGAGAGAGAGAGGCTGGGGGAGAGGCTGGAGGAGAGAGGCTGGGAGAGAGGCTGGGGGAGAGAGGCTGGGGGAGAGAGAGGCTGGGGGAGAGAGGCTGAGAGAGAGAGGCTGGGGGAGAGGCTGGAGGAGAGAGGTTGGGGGAGAGAGGCTGGGGGAGAGAGGCTGGGGGAGAGAGGCTGAGAGAGAGAGGCTGGGGGAGAGAGGCTGAGGGTGGGAGGCTGGAGGAGAGAGGCTGGGGGAGAGAGGCTGGGGGAGGCTGAGAGAGAGAGACCAGGAGAGTATGTCTCTGTGTATCTATTAGTGTATCCAGAGTGGATCGATGGTCCCTTGATGGTCTCGGGATGGGTCGGTTCCCACGGCGACTGCATTAACAGACAGGAAACTGACCTTTGACCCTGGGAACACTTGGCTTTTCGATCGGACCGCTCTCTATCTCTGAGCACATCTCCGAAGCCATCCTCACTTCCGGACATTCTCTGACTCGCCCATGCTCGTGTTGGTACAATGGGGAGAAACCAGGGTCCGGACCATGTACCCCCCCCTCCCTCTTCCTTCCTTTTTGTAGCAGTACGTTCTTTGATCTTCCGCAGCAGCTTTGGACCAGAGAGTTTTCAGGACAAGAGGAAACAAGACCAGGCTTAATAAGGTTTTCCTGCAGACACTCAGGAAACATAATTTTTGACCCAAAATCCTACGTCTTTGTCACTGTGGGCCTTTGAAAAACCACTGATATAGGAAATAAAACTCTCAGAACAGTACTATACTAAGAGTTTTCTGAAAACATGATGGAATAATGTACACTGGAAAAACTGTTGAATATCTATGATAATAAGTAAATCTCTGCTTCTGACTTGATTCTAGTTTAAAAACATACATTTCAAGTATTACTTACTTATTTCTTAAAAATTTTTGAGAAAGCCACCTCCTTCATGGACAACACCTCCCACTGCACAGGACTGTAGAGGAGCTGAGGAGCTCCTTCAGTGGAAGACTGAGACACCCTCAGTGCAAGAAGGAGCAGGGCCTTTATCCCACCGCTGTCAAACTGTACAATAAGTCACTTTAAGTCACTCACACTAGGACTAAAAAAAAACCTGCACTACTATTGACACTGTTTCTTGAATATATCATGCATTTAACATGTTGCACATTTCTATCTTTTGCACAAGATAGATGTGACATGTACATTTCTCCATCAGAGATCAATAAAGTCTATCTTAAATCTTAAATCTTATCTTAAATGTTTTCTTAAAATACAGCATAACAAACTTATTTTATCTAAACAAGAAAAGTCTGGAATCTTTTTTATCTCTAATAAGATTCTGAAGTATTATTTTTTTTAAACAAGGAAAATAATCTTATGGTATACATTCAAGCAAAAAAATAGTACTACCACCACTACTACTACTACTACTACTACTACTACTGCTACTGCTACTTCTACTACTACTACTACTACTACTGCTACTACTACTACTACTACTACTACTACTACTACTACTGCTACTGCTACTACTACTACTACTACTAGTACTTCTACTTCTACTACTGTTACTACTACCACTACTACTACTACTACTACTGCTACTGCTACTACTACTACTACTACTACTTCTACTTCTACTAGTGCTACTACTTCTACTACTACTACTACTACTACTACTACTACTACTACTACTGTGTTTGGTGAACGTGCAGCAGGCCGTGGCATGTGGATGACTGTTTAGGGACATAATAAGAGTGTTGGGTTTCTCAGTCTCAGTTAAACCCTTTGGCATCTCCAGGACCTGATACTGCGGATTACACACACACGCCACGCACAACCGGTGTGCGGACATGGAACACTATAGGACACACACATACAGTGACACACACACATATAGTGACACACACACATAGTGTGACACACACATACAGTGACACAAATGCATGGTCCGCACTGACAGCACCGCATTCTTTGTCTCTCGGTGAAAGCAGAGGTTTATTATTCCACAAGACGTCACCAAATTCTCTGCTGTTTCACAATAGAAAGTTTACAATATAATTTATTCTTGTATTTCCCCTAAATCACAACAGTATCATCTCAGAGACAAAAAAATTGAAATCACCAACACAGATCAGAGAATCAACTGTTAAAACACAAAAATATAGAACAGATGTTGATAAATGTCATACATGTGATAAATGTCATACAGGACTGAAGCTTTAGATCCAGGACTCAGACTGTAGAACGAGGACTGAGGCTGTAGATCCAGGACTCAGACTAGAATGAGGACAATTCCGGTGCAGGACTAAAGCAGCTCCAGGCGGGTCGGGGCAGTCCACAGGTGTAGATGGAGGAACAGACCACTACTATCACACGACAGGCTTCGTACGGGTTGAAAACATACTATTACTAATATATACCATTACTAATATATACTAATATATAACAATATATAACAACACTGTCTTATAAAACAATAAGATTATTTAACTTTACTTACTTTTTTATTCCAGTTTTGACAAACTGAAATCTCTTAACAGACCTGAATGAGTTAAACACACACACACACACACACACACACACACACACACACACACACACACACACACACACAGGTAGAATCACACAAACACACACAGGTAAACACACACACACAGGTAGAAACACACACACACAGGTAGAAACACACACACACAGGTAGAAACACACACACACAAGTAGAAATGCACACACACATACAGTAATGATTGTAATAATTTAAATCTAACTTTTAAATTGTATCAATGTTTGTAGATTTTTTGCCTTATTCTTTTCTCTTTTGACCTGTTTTCACCGAGAGCCAAAGCCTTTGTCAGGTCTGTGACTTGCTGTAATGTAATGTTTATATATGGCACATCACACAAAGTGCTTTAGTTCAGATGTTACTCATAAATATTCTTCTGAAATCCTTTTTGTCTGAAGCTCCAGCTCTGTAAACAACATTATCGTTCTTCTTTGGAACAACTCGGGCCTCTCTCTCTCTCTCTCTCTCTCTCTCAGCACCTGCTGCTTTTCCCAGGACCCTTATCCCCTACACAGCCCCCACAGACACAGCACCCACAGCCACAGCACCCACAGCCACAGCACCCACAGACACAGCACCCTCAGCCACAGCACCCACAGCCACAGCACCCACACCCACAGCACCCACAGACACACCCACAGCACCTACAGTCACAGCACCCACAGCACCCACAGCCACAGCACCCACAGCACCTACAGTCACAGCACCCACAGACACAGCCACACCCACAGCACCCACAGACACAGCACCCACAGCCACAGCACCCACACCCACAGCACCCACAGACACAGAACCCACAGCCACAGCACCCACAGACACAGCACCCACAGCCACAGCACCCACAGACACAGCACCCACACTCACAGCATCCACAGACATAGCCACAGCACCCACACCCACAGCATCCACAGTCACAGCACCCACAGACAGAGCACCCACAGGCATAGCCACAGCACCCACACCCACAGCACCCACAGACACAGCACCCAAACTCTGACCCACATCCCCCACAGTCTGACCCACACTCCGGCCCACACTGCCCCACACTCTGACCCAGCTGGACCAGTGGGGTAATGATTTTTATTCTCATCCCCGGTGGAAATGCAACAGAGCAAAGCCTGTCTAAAATGCCGGCCGTTCCAAATGCCGCCGGGCGAATCCAAGCGGGTCACATTCCCGGAACATCTCGGGGATTCTGACACTCACGCTGCTATTTTTCCTGATGGATACGTCTCTATTTGTGGGAGACACGTGGAATGAGCTGAAACAAGACACAGGAGTGGGTCGTGTGTCGGTTAGTCATTTAAATTGCTGTTGGGATAATGACAATTCAAGTAATAGGTGTGTCTTTATATCCAGGACTAATTAAGGATGGTCTGAGTGAGTCAGTGGGATTATGTGGGCTACATTTAGAGAAGTATGAGCTAATGTGGGCCCATCTCAACCACAATGTTCTGGCCACAGCGGCTTCATTTTACTGCCTCAGTTTTATTGTTTTTATTCACTAAAAATAAAATAAATTATGCTTATTTTCTAAAGTTTTTGTTGTTGCTTGAATGTAGTTTGTCATAAGATTATTTCACTAGTTTTAAGATAATAACTCTTCATAATCTTATTAGAGAAAAAAGTCTGTGCAGTGAGTTTTTAAGATTGTCTTTTTTTCTTATTTCTAGACTTTTCTTGTTACGGTAAAATAAGTTTGTATCATAAGTCATATTCTCTTCTTCTATTGACAGATCATTTTTTTATTATTTTAAGCAGTATTTTACTTGTTTTCATTCATGTTTTTCTTATTTTTTTTACGGACCGTTTACAAGGGTAGTTTTTCTCTTCAGTGGAATCTGACTTTTTGAATACTAGATTTGCGAAAGGAACAAGCCGTTAATCTTATTTGAGAACTGCTGCGATGTATTTCTCATTCCAAGGAAAGACATTTCTAGGTTTTTCTTTTTTTTCCTAAAACATTTCATTTTTGCTTGTCCCTTTGGCAAATCTTGGTTATAGCCAGTCAAAATGTGCTCAAACTAAGATAAATAACATTAATTTTAAATACTTCTGAACCAAGTGTAATTATAGCTCCAGAATTTATTTTATTTTATTCCATTTTACCATCTAATTATCTTATTCTATTGTCTATCAACTTAAATAATAGAGTCTGATGTGTGAGTCTTATTTCCTTCTTTCTCTGCTGTAAAGTGACACTGTGGGACCAATAAACTACTATCTTTTCTCATCTCATTTGATCCCAACATTTATTTCCTTATATTTTGTTATTTGTTGCAGTGTATATTACCTTTAAGCTGTCACGTACATAGTCAATATATACATTATTGGTTGATAGTCCAATTCCAGCACACATAGAACCCTCCTACAGCACAACCACAGCACTTTAAATGCAGAAAAACACCTTTCATATTTTCTCATCTTCTCCCTCACATCGTAAAGTAACACTCCCGACCTGAATACAAACTAGACTTTTTTGCAGGTCAGCACAACAGTAAGCGTTCCAATGGACTCCCAATTAGCTACAGCCTGTCTCCCTCAGCGCTCATACCGGACCTAAACTGAAAATGAGCGACATCCAACTCTCCAAATAATGAAGTGTTTGGAGCCGCTTCTCGCCGGATGAATTAACGGCGTTCCCAGGTGGATACAGCGCCCTATTGGCTGAAGGCAGATGCACAGACGCCCACATTGATGTGGGTTCAAACCTCACCTGTGGTTTAAATGTGGGAAAAAAAAAAAATAAAAAATTTGAAAATAAGTAATATACTGCTTAAAATTGGACAAAAATGATAAAACAAGAAAATATGACTTAAGATTTCTAAAAATAATGAAATAAAACTAGCCCCAAACGACTTGATTCCAGTTTGAAAACATACATTTCAAGTATTATTTACTTATTTCTTAAACATTTATGATGTTTCTTAAAATACAGCATCACAAACTTATTTTATCTAAACAAGAAAAGTCTGGAAATAAGAAAAAATACTTTAAACAAGCTTAAAAACTCACTGCTCAGAATTTTTTCTCTAATAAGATTATGAAGAATTATTATCTTAAAACCAGTGAAATAATCTTATGACAAACTACATTCAGGAAACAAAAAATTTCCATTAAAAAGATGCATCCTTTATCGATCAATAATTTATTAGTAATGCACAATTCAGGTACAAGGCTTTTCAAAGTGCTTCACAAGAGACATTTAAAGACACAGATCAAAATGCATCAAAAAGTCTATGAAATATACAATTATTTCATTTTAAAACAGAGCGGCATAAAAGTATTGGGTTTAAAAATCATTAAAAAGTAGGTTAAAAAAGGGAGATGAAAGTAATAAGTAATCACAGGTTAAAAATGTATGTTTTCAGCCAAATCTCACCTGTAGTATTGCATTGATTGTGCTCCAGCTATTTTTTTTCCTATTATTAATTGTATGCGCAGGACAGGCTGCTGCGTGTGTGTCTTTGGATCGCGTCCCACCAGAAGGAGAGCCTCTTAATCTGATCATTAGGCCACTTCAAAAAAACACAAGTACTTATTAAAACCCAATTCCAGCTGCGTTACTCTCGTTACAGGCCCCGAAACAATGTTCGTGGCCCCGGAGCAAAAACTGGGCACGGGGAAAGAGGTGGAGGGGGGGGGGGGGGGGGGGATTTTGGCCTATTTTGACTCAACACGTCGTGATAATTGCTGCACTCTTGGCAGGGGGGATATGAATAAACATGGGGTCTATCACACGGACACTTGATTTTTTAATTCATTTACACAAAATATGGACAATCTCTGCATTAATCACTGCACGGTTTTATTATTGCTATTTCCCCAAAGTCTATTCTCGTTTGGTTCTTTCTCTCTCTGCTCTCTCTCTGCTCTCTCTCTGCTCTCTCTCTGCTCTCGCTGATCTGAAAATCTACTTAATCTCCGCCCGCAGTTTTGAACAAAAGCTGGAGCCGCTGCATCGATCTGGGCTTCGATCCCAGCGGCCGCAGCGATCGTAAAGGCGCTAAATTGGTTTCTTGGAGGATATGTATTTTTCATTACAGGCTGAATGTAAGTTGGTTTGTTGAAATGTTTTACAAGCTTTCTTAAAACAAACTAGCACCGAATCTTAAAATATTTACAGGATCGCACTCTGGAAAACGTTTTAGGTTTTGAAGTGATTTCAGAGGAGTTTACAGATAAAGGAGAGAGTCTGGGTTTGTGTTTTTCAAGGACGGATTCAAACTCAGTCTGAAAGCATTTGTTTAGTGTCTGCAAAAAGGCAAAGGGCAGGACCAAACAGTCCTTGAGAACAGCAGTCTTCTCGAGGCTGTGAGACAGGCCTCTACACTGCAAAAAATGATACAAAATGAGGTAAAAACAGCTGGAATCGAGCGTTTTTATCTTGATTCAAGCACATTCAGACTGAATTAAAACAGGATTTGCAAATGGAACGAGGCATTAAGTCTTATTGTTCTTGTATATATCTCGAATTTTGTTCTAACACTGCAAAAAATGATCAAGTGTGAGATAAAAACAACTCGATTCAAGAAATTATTATCTTAATTTAAGTTAATTCTGACATAAAACCAGATATGCAAATGAGAAAAGCAATTTAGACTTGATTCAAGAACTATATTTTTATGTTCTTATTCCAAGGGAGAAATGTCTTATATCTTTTAAAAACAAGATGATTTGTCTTGTTCCACGGGCACAGTTTTAAGGCTCAGTCAAAATATGCTCAAATTAAGACACATTTAGCCAAATTTGAGCACTTTAACTCCATCATTTTTTACAGTGAAGGAAGTTGAAATAGGCTCAACTTATGAAGCATTTAGCCAAATTTGAGCCATTTTCTACCTATTTTTTTTTTTTATCACTTTTTGCCCTGAACTTGTTCAAAACTAGGCTGAAAACAAATCTTTTTTGCTGTGATTGCAACTGATTCTATTTTATACTATTTACTGCTTTTATCTTCCTTGTGAAACCCCATTTTTATAAGAGTTTTAAACCCAATACTTTTATGCTGCTCTGTTTTAATATACAATAATTATGTATTTCATGGACTTTTTAATGCATTTTGATCTGTGTCTTTAAACTCTGATCAAAATGCATCAGAGTGAATCACTTTGATTTGCCTTGTACACGCATTGTGCTATTCAAAGAAATGATTGATTGTATGATAGCGTCTAAACAGTTGCCATTAGCTTGACACAAAGATTGCTTTATTGCTCCATATTTAAAAGCACAGGTTTATGGCCTGACTTTATGGTAAAGTAGTTGTGAGTCGTCTGTGCCTTATCTAAATGTTCCCGTGACCAGATAAGAATTACCAGTAAAATAAATAATACTTTTATTGCCATGTCGTGAAGTTCAACAAACTTCCTATCTGCACTTTGGCATCCCATATTCTAAACAAATTCAATCTTGATATAGGTTATAACCAGTTTCTGGCAGTTGACCCCAATTTTTCTCACTTGACAATGGTCATTGGGTTCATTTGGAAAAAGAACCAAACCCGTTTAAAAGTGCTTCTGACTCTAGACGTTTGGGAAATTAATATTTGTTGGTTTAAAGGAGCAGTTTGTAAAAATGTGACCAAAAGTGGTACTGCAGCCTCTCCCACTGTCCCTGACTCAGGTTGCCAGATATGCAGACGAATCCAGCTGGGACCATAACAGCTGAATAGACAAGAGTTTTGTCAACAACAAATCTATAACCAACACCTTTTTCACAGAGACAGAAATCCTGGTTTTATTCCTTGTTTTGTAGTTACTGATTTGAGAATCATAACGAGACCTTTTTTAGTTCTGTGCCACATGGTACTTTACCAGTGAGATTAGCTCCACGCAGTTAACCCCACTTTGCCTGAAACCCCCGCTGAAAGACCAAGCTCTCATTGTCACCCCCTGACCCAGAAATGGACTAATAAAGGGGTTAGTAAATGACAGAATGGATGAAATTTAGGCCCTGTCCACACGAAGTCAAGCTCAGGCCTAAACGCAAAAATACTTTATCAATCCAGTGTATCGTCCATACGAGGCCGGCGTTTTGGGGGGGTGTAAACGAACATTTTTGAAACTAGGTCCCAGAGTGGAAAGATTTCAAAACTCCGTATATGCCGCTCCGTGGTTACTGCCTCTCCGCAATGTATCTGAGACGCTTGCGTCATCGCCCCGCCTCTTGTTGAAGCACGCATGCGCCGCACTCAGAAAATAATGACAACAACAATGTAGCTTGTTGGTTTTGTAATCCAGTGTGACCCGAAGCAACAGTTCAACCTCATCGTCCGTCCATACTAATGTAGTACCAGCTCGCCCACTCGCCATGTTGTCTGTTTACAAAATTCTGCGCATGCCCAGTTCCCGTCACGGAAGTTTGGGCTTGATCCCGTCATTGCGTCACAGCGCCACCAACAGGTCTGGCATAGTTTCACAGCGTTTTCAGGCGTATTGACTACATTCATATGGACGCACACATTTACTGAGCTAACTCCGTGTTTACAGAAAAAGTTTCTGAAATTATACGCGTTTTGTCTTCGTGTGGATATAGCCTTAAGGTAGTATTCCATGTCCAACTTTGGACTAGCATGAGTTACAAACACAAAACTAAATACTCATAACCAAAATGTTTGATGGTGCGATACTGGATGCTGCATTCTTCTCTCGCAGCCTTGGAGTCGCATGGCCGCATGTGCGCAGCCGAGATAACGGGAACATATGTCATATTCAGAGATGGAATAATATCTGATATTTCTAAGATCTTGAGACAGAGCAAAAGAGATGCTTGTCAGGGAAACCGCCATATCACGCGTGCTATAAGGTCACCCGTCCCCATGGTCTGGCTCATGGTCCGCCTGTCTGTCACCCAGCCCCCCCATACAGCCCCCCACAGTCCCCCACCTGCTCCCATCCCATGCTGGGTGTCCTACGCTCTCCTCTGGGCCCGATAACAGCCACTTTCTTTGATGATCCGCGACGCCTGTCAGAGAAGAGCTTCTGGGCAGGCACAGTCAGGACAGCCCTTTGATGAGGACCCCAATACTTGAAGTCGCAGTGAATTGTGGGGGGGAGGATAGGGGGGGTTCCTCGGCTGTTTCAAGAAATGTGGTGAAATCTCTCCTTTGGCGCTGGCTTTCTTCCGTCTGATGATTTTAATGAACGAATTTGAATTTCCTGAAGACGCAGATAGACGTGTGTGAGAGAAAGTACGGACATGACACACGCCTTGTTACTGTCACAAAGTCAAAAACCAATTCACTTTGTTGTGTTTTGTCACTTTGTCTCGTTGCGTTAAAGAGTGTAGCGTTTGAAGCCATCATAGAAAGGCTTTGAATATTGGACTTATAATCTATTAACTTCACAAGAAGGACAATACTTTACTTTGGGAACGTTTTTTATGTGAAGGCAAAAGTTGAGGCACTTTTACCTCATAACTGATTATTATTACTCCCAGCACTAAATTTCCCGTTTATATTTGTGAAAATACCGCTTTGTAAAGGGTAAGTTTATAGTTAACTGTTAGTATTCTTTGGTAGTGGTTCCCGAGGGCTTGAAAAACGTTGTTGTAAAGATGGAAAAACCATAATCCCAGTGGTTTTGGATTTTAGGCTTTACTCTTATCCTACAGTCTCCATGCTTTTCTTTGTGGAACTGAATATTTCTTTATAATTGCGGTTTAATGAAGTCAATAATTAACTACATAAAATAACTGAACCGTAAATAAGGAAGGCTTGTTATTACCTACTGAGCATATATTATTATTATTATTATTGTTCAATGTTTAGAATTAAAATTATATTAACAGATTCGTTATGTGTCCCACAGCGGGGAAATGTCAGTGTTGCAATAACTCTATACTAAATAAGATTAAATAAAACAAAATCTCTAACTCGCATCAAAGAAACAAGTATTAAATCTCTATCTTTGGCAAAATAAGAAGCAAGTATAAAGTACAGTGTATTCTATAGTGCAAGTAATATATATTTGTATGTTTACATCAGAAATAACCAAACATATGAATTCATAAATAAGTACACTAATGACATAATAAAGGTATAATTTTATGACCAATGAAATAATATCTCATAAAATGTAAAAAAAAAAAAAAATCATAGCCATTGTCATCAAAACGATCAAGTCAAATCAATATATTCATTAAAATAGAAGAGTAACTATTTAAAACTAGATCTGTGTGTGTGATTTTGTACTTATTTTATATTTTACTATCATGTAAACTTAAACTAAACTTAAACTCATGCACTGGACCCCATTTAAAAGCTTTGCAGAGCTTTTCAGGAAGTCAATTATTCTCAAATCCTAAAAATATTCACAAAATGTAATGTATTAATTATGTATAATGTTAAACCTGTGGCGATAAGAAAACAAACAAATAAAAATATATTATTATTATTTTCAAACTCACATTTTCCTCATTCCTGATCCTTTTTCCTCCCACTGCTAACTTTGCCTTTGACATCTTTGCTATCGTTGTTTTCCTTCGCTGCTGTTTTGTCTGCTCTGAAAGCGTACGATACTGAGCCATAACAACTATTATCACCCTGAGACTGAGGCCGCTGCACTAAATAAAGCTGTAGTTTTTATCCATCCACTTTTCCTCTCTACTCAGCGACGTAGAGCTCGTCTGAGTCGGGCTCGTGCTGCACCTGCCTCCGTCACACACGTATTGATCGCTGCATTCTTCTCTCTTGTTGATTCTCGGTGTTTTGACAGAGGTTCCCACACACTCTGCAGTCTCCCACCCATCGCTCCATTCCCAGCAAAAAAAGCAATGACTAAGAAATCTCGCACATTTTCCTCATTCCTTCTATCTCAATGCTGGCTTTTTGTGGGCGGTAATGATTAACCGGCGCCGGCCTGGGAAGAGAGCAGTCGTTACAAAAGAGTGGTTTGTTTTTTTCTGCCTTACCTGGATCTTCCCATGCACACCTGCAACGCAAACTTTAGCTTTTTCAATCCGTGATAATGTCATGTGACTTAATCAATCGGCTAATCTAAAGTGGTGGCAGAGATGCAAACACATATAACGGTGTCGTTGTTGAAGCAGGAGCGTGGAAAACATTCTCATGAAAGAGATTTGAGGAGAGAGCTTTGTGTGAGCTGTAAAGACATTACCCATGGTGCACTGCTGATCAATAGCTATTGACCTGTCAGTGGGGTATAGTGGTAACTGCCTGTACTTAAATCACCCCGGCTCACTTCTTTTAGGAACGACATTTACAACGTGATCTTATGATCTGCTTTAAAAGCATAAAAGGGACGGAAATCATTGAATTGATGTAGAATTAAGTAAATAAATACAGGTTTTTGTTACATATTCAAAAGACTATACGCCATATAAGCTTAATTCAGGGCCCATGCTGATTACAAGTGCTAATAGAGGCTTAGTACTAGTGCTCATAGAGGCTGATTACTAGTACTCATAGAGGCAGATACTAGTACTCAAAGAGGCTGATTACTGGTACTCATAGAGGCAGATACTAGTACTCATAGAGGCTGATTACTTGTACTCATAGAGGCAGATACTAGTACTCAAAGAGGCTGATTACTTGTACTCATAGAGGCAGATACTAGTACTCAAAGAGGCTGATTACTAGTACTCAAAAAAGTTGGCCTCATTAAGTACGAGGAGGAACTACTATTACTATTACTAGTACAGTTGGAAAGTAGCATGATGCTAAATCTGGTTAAACCATTTTTTGTATTGCAAATGCACATGGTCCTTAATAAATCAAACTTCAAACTACTACTACTGCTACTACTGCTACTACTACTACTCCTACTACTACTACGACTACTGCAACTGCTACTACTATTGCTCCTGCTGCTACTACTATTACTATTACTACTCCTACTACTCCTACTCCTACTAATCCTACTACTACTACTACTACTCCTACTCCTACTACTCCTACTATACAAGCAGGTTCAAGGGTCATTGTCCAGTCGAGTCCATCCCATTGAGTTCTCCTTCTTCCTTTTTCAGGTTGACGATCAGATGAAACTGCTGCAGAACTGTTGGAGTGAGCTGCTGATCCTGGACCATGTGTTCCGGCAGGTGGTACACGCCAAGGAGGGCTCCATTCTCCTGGTCACCGGCCAACAGGTAACCACCGCTAATACTCATCTTTACACCCGCTTAGCAACTCTCAATCAATCTTAAACCTTTCCCTTTAAGCATTATTGATGACAGTATCCACGCAGGAGGTCCCCCACTTCATTAAATATAGATCTCGCTGATAGAAACGGCTGGTACGGCAAAGATACTTGTCGTTTCAGAAAGTTTTCAATTGATTCTGTGGAATAAAGAAAAAAAAGGCAATTTGGAGCTTACAGGTAGAAATCAACAACATGAAAATTTCGCTAAAACACCTTTCACCAATGGCGTGGCTGTCAGTCAGACGAGAAGTCATAAATTATAGATCGGCTGCTGCACCAAAACATGGCTGGCAAAATGTTATACAACAACAGATATTGGCATAAATATTGTACAAGACACGCCGCCGCGATATCGGAATTAGAGCAAGGTCAAAAGATTGTGTTAATATTTTGGATTAAAAAGTATATACTGAACGGGGAGGCATGGATTTGGTCAGGCGTGGTGGTTTAAGGACTTGGAGGGGAGAAGGGAGGGGTCCGGAGTCAGGGGAGGTGGTTTCGTTTGCATAAGTTTGTCTAATGAACAGCTGGTGCGGTGTGCGAATGTAAGTGTGTGTGTTTGAGGGAGTCGGCCTAACACTTCATTATCTCCCATTATTTTCTGCCTGGCCAGGGGTGACAGGTAACGATAACACGGGGGAGTTTATGAACAAGGTACTCTGCATCACCGCGAGCAAGATTAAATATGCTTCTGTGAGAGACTTAAAAACACGTATCAGGCTTGGTTAAGTAATTGACAGTTGACTGAAGCAAGTTTTGTGTGTAAAAAGTAAAATAAATGACTGCAATTTTTTTGGAAAGCAGTGTAAGAAATAGCATTTGAATTTGATCCAAAATAGGTCCTGGACTTTTTATATTTTATACACGAAAGATGCCAGTTTTTGGACCCGGGTTGAAAGGCAATGTCAACCCGGGACAAGGGGAAAGGGGAGGCGAGGTGTTTGAAGATAAGAATCAAGAATAGGTCTTGGATAAGAAATAATACAACAAAATTAAAATTAAAGAAGACAGGAAGAAGTCTAAATAGTTTTATATCTGTCTTCACTTGACACTGTCGCCCCCTAGAGTCTGGGGGAGGAAAATGTATGCAAATGTATGTACCTGACACACATGTAAGCAACGGGATATGAAACACTCAAAATGGCCGCTTTATTTGGCCGTAGTCTTCCCACTTAACAACCTCAGCAAAAAGGCTAAGTCAAAAAGGCAGAATTTCAACCCAACCAGCGTCGAAAATTTAAAAAACTGAGATGACCTTATGTGACGGAGGGTCTGCCACCTGCTCAGTGTGATTTGCCTCTTACCCTTATGTCTGAAAAGTTGTGAAAAATAGTGGCCTGATCATGTTTTGATTCAATTTTTTAGATTCTTTTATAAGCCATAATTATAAAGTATACATGAAACAAAGCTTGAAAGATTTACCATGATGTGTAATAGATTTCTGATACTTGTACATGGCTATTCTAAATGCAAATATGCTGGTTTCAGTCAGGTCAACATAAGGAGGAAAGAAAATGCCGTACTGTTATAAGTAAGATTATTTTATAAGCCATAATCATTACATTTTCTGATACTTGTACATGTCTTTGCTAAATGCAAATATTCTGGTGTCAGGCCTACATTACCTTTGGGGAAAGAGAAAAGGAAATGCCGTACTGTTTTAAGTACAAATCCAAGATAGACAAACGGTTCGAGCAGTACCTTAACTTTAAACTCTCCAACAGCCTTCATTCCATATACAAAAAAACACACAAAGGACAAAAAGCAAGACTTAAACCGTGCTGTTTTGAAACTACATGTGAAATTCTAATCCTGACGATACGTGAAAACAATGCAATGTCGTCTGGCACACAAAGCCACCTTCACATCTGTCTGCCGCATCAGTCACTGGATTCATAATCACACATTTACCCGTCTCCCCGGGACCTAATATAAACCAGTATTGATTGATTGACACGCAGGTCGCTGAGGTTAGTGCTAAGTCTGCTAGTAAAGTCACATTACAGCTCTTTTTTCCAGCCTCTTTTTACTTAAGGCTTGGAAGCAATAACCCACGGCATCACCATCAAGAGTCCAATCCTTCAATGAAGTTATTTCATGCACAGTTGATTTTATGTAAATTGATTGACACCTGAGAAGAAGGGGCGGGGGTCGTGTCTGCGTCTCATTGTGCCATAACTCTAGTGCTGTCTGCGAAATGGGAGTGGGGAGGGGTCAGAACAGGGTGGGATTAGACCTGAGGTACAACTGGGTCATCTGTAAGCTTAAGGCTCGCATCATCCACAAACAAATGATTATAAAACAGTAACGGTTAAATTAATTGAATATATTCTGTAGTCCTCTCCCACTCACCCTGACTCAGGTTGCCAGATATGCAGACGAATCCAGCTGGGACCATAACAGCTGAATAGACAAGAGTTTAGTCAATAAAAAATCTATAACCAACACGTTTTTCACAAAGATAGAAATCCTGGTTTTATTCCTTGTTTTGTCGTTAATACAAATGGATTTTTAACCACTTTGGCCTTTTACATTATTTCAAAATGACATCCTTCGTTTACTCAATCACTTTGCTTACACTTTAAAGTCTGCACGTCCTAAAAAACCCCTCTCCACAGTAATACATTCAGGAGTTTTTTAATTGCAAATCTGAACACACTGGGGCTGTCTCCCCCCCAAGCTCCAGCAGCAGCACGCGCCTGGCTTCCACCTTCCCGCTGGAACCCCAACCACAGTCAATTATGGTAATGAATTGTCAATAAATATAAAAATTTAATATTGTCCTGCTCGCTGTGAGTGGCAGGTAAGGACTTGCCTCCCAGACAAATGTGCTGCTGCAGCAGAGAAACACCTGAGTGGAAGCACTGCATCTGCTTCTGCATTTAAAAAGATGCTATAGTTTGCATTTAAAGCTAGTTAATAAACCCAGCAGCTACTTGTTTAGTATATTTTGTGTTTAGTTAACGTTTGATTTTCTCTCCTTTCTTGGAGGTTGCTTGCTTCTGGGTAGAGTAGAACGGATGTAAACAGTGTTATACATGAAACCCCTGTATTCATAATTAGAATTGACAATTTTAAAGGAGCAGTATGTAAAAATGGGGCGACAGTAGCTCAGTTGGTAGAGCATTGGCCTTTGGGCCATCCTGGTTTTATTCCTTGTTTTGTCGTTAATGATTTGAGAATCATAACAAGACCTTTTATAGTTCTGCGCCACATGGTACTTTACCAGTGAGATTAGCTCACTGGTAACACTGGTGAGTTCTGGCGCCCGGATCACAGACTTCCTGATTGGTGAAACGGTGGAGGGCTGGACATCGAAATGAAAACAATAACAAGATTTAGAGGCTGGAAGAGTAATTTAGAAATTCAAATATCTCTGAACTACTGTTATCAGTTAAAGAAGTATTGGTAAAGAGCAGTTAATTTCAATCAATCAATCAATCTAATTTTATTTATAGAGCCCTTTACAACAAACAAGGCGACCAAAGTGCTTTACAATAAAATCGCATAAAATCAGTTAAAAACATTCATACAACCAAACAATAAAAACAGATAAAACCATTAGAAACTAAAGTGTCGCCGTGCTACTGAGCATTAAAAGCCAGTCTGAATAAATATGTCTTTAGTCTGGATTTGAAAAGGCCAAAGTCAGTGATTGTGCGTAGATCAGGGGGCTGCTTGTTCTAGAGCTTTGGTCCAGCAACTGAAAAGGCTCGATCACCCCAATGTTTGGACCGAGTCCTGAGCACTTCCAGTAAACGCTGATTTGATGACCTCAATGACCTGCCCGAATCACGAACTATCAGAAGTTCGGACAGGTATGAAGGGGCGAGACCATTGAGGGCTTTAAAAACAAAAAGAAGAATTTTAAAATCAACTCTAAAAGCCAATTTATGACAGACTAGGGCCCTTTAATGATGGCAGACTAGGGCCCTTTAATTAGGACAGATTAGGACCCTTTCATGATGACAGATTATGGCCCTTTAATGATGACAGATTACGGCCCTTTAATGATGGCAGTTTAGGGCCCTTTAATGATGACTGGACTTAAATACATGCTGTTGTTACATATTATTGGTGGAGTGAAGTCCTGGCGTTGTTGCAGGTGGACTATGCAGTGATCGCGTCTCAAGCTGGGGCCACCCTAAACAACCTGCTGAGCCACGCCCAGGAGCTGGTGGGAAAACTACGCTCACTACAGTTCGACCAGCGGGAGTTCGTCTGCCTCAAGTTTCTCGTGCTCTTCAGTCTGGGTGAGTGCTTGTTCTTTCTTCATGAGTACAACAGAGCAGTAATAACACATGGAGCAATCACTTTGAGTACAACAGAAGGAAAAAGATAAAAAGAGGAAACCAAAAAGATGTGTTTTGCCAGTGGGGGTGTACCCGGAAAGAGAATTACCCAATGCTTTTGTATGGTGTCTTCTTTCTTCTGGAAAACAGCTTCACAGGATGTTCCAAAAGTGGGTCTTGGTCCTATTGGTTCCAGATGCTCTCTATGTTGGGGGGGTATATTTGTTTTTGGACCAGTCTAGTTTAGCTGCTGTGGACTTTTAAATGCACTCTTTAAATGATTGGGGCTAGTGTAGCTAACGCACAAATGTGTTTTATTTTTACATTTTCCCTGCGGCCATTATAAAAAAGCCAAAGAAGGCTAAAGAGATGTCACGTCAGTTTCAACAGCGGAGATAGGCCTGACTCCATCTTTAATATTTACAGTCTATTTTCAAATACAAGAAATAAAACAGAAAACACATTGGTCCATAAGAGGCAGATGACCAGTGTCCATAAGTGTTGATAAATGTCCATAAATGTTGATAAATGTCCATAAATGCTGTGATTTTCAGTGACAAAAAGACAAAAGTCGTACGTAACAAAACCTGCCATGACTCTGTGTTTATAGTTTTTATGTCCTTTATCACATCAGCAAACAACATCAGCTTCTTCATCCTCAATCCGTCCACATTTGCTGCCTCAAACTAAGCCTTGTGTACAAAAGCATGTGGATATAAGTTATTCAAAGATTAGCCCTCCCTTCTCCGCTCTCAGGGGCCTTCAGCGGCGGGAGCGAGGGGTTGTAGATTTGCTGCAGGAAGGGAGGAAGGAAAACGAGGCAGACGTGGAGATGGGAAAAGGAAAGAGAGAGGACGAGGGTGGGAACCGGCTGCAGTAAAGTGCATAAGAGCAGACAGGGAAGGGACAGAGGGAAGGTGAGACGCCCGGTCCACGAAAAGCCGAGGTCAGAGCCTATACCAAGAGACGTCCAGCCCCTTCTCTCCTAACTAGACTGCAGCCAGGGCCTCTCCGGGGGTCTCTCAGAATGACCCAAACACCACATATCACATCAGCTCAGCTACAACTCCACCGACCTTTCCAAAACCCAGAGCGAATGCTGTGAATGTGGAGATCAGGCAGGATTATCACAGGTAAAAGTGTGCGTATATGTGTTCATGAGTGCGCGAGGCGGCCTGACACACCGGGGTTTCATACTTGGGTCTAAATAATTTGACAGAAACATCATCCATAATGAATTGCCCACCTGAGGGATGTGTTTCGCCCCCGGCAGTGCCTGTTCTCCAGCGCAGCCCGGCAGTCCCACCGAAGCAGCCCCCACACGCTGTAAGGGATCAGAGGCGGATCAGTGATTACATGTGATTAATATGAGCGAATAGAGATGCGAGCGCGGCCAATGTTTTACCTGAACTTTATTTATTGAATAGATTTAGAAATGCAACGGGTCTTGGATGTCCATGACCGGCACTGGTGGATTTCCCATTGGTTCAATGAACAACAAGGAAATGTAAACTACTTTAAAACTGAGAGAGCACCATCTTTAATTTCTTACTGAGAAAAAACTCAAGGAAACCAATAGCAAGGAGTTTAGTTTGAGACATTATTATATAGATAAATAATTGCATCATAACTCTCATGTAAAGTGTAAGTATTTCCAGTATTTTTGGAGTCACTGTGATCAGGTCTTTGAGGTTCTCAGTGACAGCATCGGGAACATCATGACACTGAGGAAAACCTGCACGAAAATGTAGTTTATTATAACAGTAATAACGGCACAGTGGCGGACAAGAAGGTCCTGGGTTCAAATCCCGGTCGAAACAGGGCCTTTCTGAGTGGAGTTTGGAGTGCATGTTTTCCCCGTGTCTGCGTAGGTTTCCTCCGGGTGCTCCGTTTCCCCTACCACTAAAAACATGTACAATAGGTCTGTGCCTCCTGTACTGGCCCCGCTCCCCTCTCTGTGTGGGGTCAGAGACTAATGCCCACAATTGTAAACCGCTTTGACTCTGGTCTGAGAAAGGCGCTATATAAATAAACATTACTTACTTACTAACATTCTGTGCTCTGTGTGCACATGCTGTTAGCTAACTGGTGTTGTCTGTTTTGTGTTCATCGCTGTTTTACACAATTCCTGCTTTTAACTATTTATACCTTTGTTGTTTGGCCTGTCCCTGTAAACGACCTGCCCGAGGACTACAGATAAATATGTTAATTAATGTGCACTGTCCCATCTTGAATAATTAAATACATAATCCTCTGGCCCACAAGTCCCTTTTTAGTGGCCCCTGAAATTATTATCAATATTATAATTATTATTAACTTTGATGGTAATGACCTTCTAGACCATTTATACCGCATTTTAAAACAACACACGATTAGAAGTTGAATACAGAAAAACTTCATTTGTCTTATTCTGATTGCTCCAGTTTTGGTTCAATCCAATCCATAAATTCATTTTGTTCAAAAAATCTACTAGAAAAGAATGTCCAAATGTATGAGTAATTTGTCAAACTAATCAAAAATAGAAAATAAAACCACCACCATGACCACTATGAGTGCTGTAGGTGCAGGTACATTCATATATTGTACTAGTATATTGTATTTTTATTTAAGATAAGATAGACTTTATTGATCTCTGATGGAGAAATGTACATGTCACATCTGGCGTGGATAGAATCACTCAGATTGGGAAAAGAAAGAAATGTGCAACATTTTAAATGCAGGATATGTTATGTACAATAAAAAGTGGCAATCAAGAAACAGTGTCAATAGTAGTGCAGGTTTTTAGTCCTAATGCAAGTGACTTAAAGCGACTTATTGTACAGTCTGACAGCAGTGGGGATAATCATTAAAGTATTCTTCTTCGTTTGTCAAAGCAACTGATTTTACTTTTCTACCACTTCCTTGTTCACTTAAACCAGTACAAGTTCATTTTCAAAAGCCTGACTGCAGAGAATCACTAACACGTAATGGACTGGATCCTTCTCCGTCCATCCCTCATTCTCTCTCCGTCTTTAACCGGACTATTAGTCTCTGGCCTCCTCTTAGACACGCTCTTAGATAAAGCAGCTGTCAATATCACAGACATGCCACTCCGGGTGAGACCCAGCACCTTCTCCGGCTCTTACCATTTACACATTCTACTCTTCTTCTTCTGCTGCATTTTTCTTACATTTTCTTCCTTTTCCATTGATTTCTTCTGTCACCACATTCCAGTAGATGCTTTTCCTTTGTCAATAAGTGTGCGATAGTCTAATGGAGGACGATAGTGGCCCTTGAGGAGACAGGCAGAGGCTGAAGGTGGGGCAGAGTTCAGGAAGCGATGGCTGCGAGTAGTTTTCTGTTGTCGGGAGCTGTTAATGGGCCTTTGATTTCCTTTAAAAGGCCTGAGGGCGACAGGCGGCAGTATACATGCACAGGTGACAGGCGGCAGTATACATGCACAGGTGACAGGCGGCTGTATACATGCACAGGTGACAGGTGGCTGTATACATGCACAGGTGACAGGTGGCTGTATACATGCACAGGTGACAGGTGGCTGTATACATGCACAGGTGACAGGCGGCAGTATACATGCAAAGGTGACAGGCGGCTGTATACATGCACAGGTGACAGGCGGCAGTATACATGCACAGGTGACAGGCGGCAGTATACATGCACAGGTGACAGGCGGCTGTATATATGCACAGGTGACAGGCGGCTGTATATATGCACAGGTGACAGGCGGCAGTATACATGCACAGGTGACAGGCGACAGTATATATGCACAGGTGACAGGCGGCAGTATACATGCACAGGTGACAGGCGGCTGTATACATGCACAGGTGACAGGCGGCAGTATACATGCACAGGTGACAGGCGGCAGTATATATGCACAGGTGACAGGCGGCAGTATACATGCACAGGTGACAGGCGGCAGTATACATGCACAGGTGACAGGCGGCAGTATATATGCACAGGTGACAGGCGGTAGTATACATGCACAGGTGACAGGCGGCTGTATACATGTACAGGTGACAGGCGGCAGTATACATGCACAGGTGACAGGCGGCAGTATATATGCACAGGTGACAGGCGGCTGTATACATGCACAGGTGACAGGCGGCAGTATACATGCACAGGTGACAGGCGGCAGTATACATGCACAGGTGACAGGCAGCTGTATACATGCACAGGTGACAGGTGGCAGCATACATGCACAGGTGACAGGCGCCTGTATACATGCACAGGTGACAGGCGGCTGTATACATGCACAGGTGACAGGCGGCAGTATACATGTACAGGTGACAGGCAGCTGTATATATGCACAGGTGGCAGGCGGTAGTATACATGCACTGGTGACAGCAACAAGAGGAGAGGAGCACAGGTACATATAGACACAGAGGAGCACAGGTACATATAGACACAGAGAGACACAGGTACATATAGACACAGAGAGACACAGGTACATATAGACACAGAGAGACACAGGTACATATAGACACAGAGAGACACAGGTACATATAGACACAGAGAGACACAGGTACAAATAGACACAGCTGAAACACATCAGGCCGGGGCAGACAATCAAGACAGGGGAACAAGACAGGAAGTAAAACTAAAACCAAAGCACAGAGAACTGATATCAAAATAAAACCAAAGTAGACAGTTTGTAAGATAAAATACGATTTTTCTTGATTGGTGGGAAGTGTCAGTGTCATCTTTGCACATTACAGCAGAGAAAAAAGGAAATAAAACTGGTAAAATAGAATAATAATGATAATAATAATCTCTGTTCATGTAGCTGAGCATCAGTGGCCGATACGGACAAAACCATCGATACTGAGAAACATGTAAAAAGAATCATGAAGAGCTAAAACGTTGGCTGATCTGGTTTTAACTGTGGATTTAGGAGTTTATGAAGCAACTCCTTCTGTCTGAACTAAAACAGACGTGAACTTCTTTCTGTCATCGTGTGCAGCGTAAGAGCAACGTAAAGAGTTGGAGTCAAATCCATCATTTGTTTTTGGATCCATGTGTTTCTCTACCTCTTTCTCTGTCTTTCTCTGTCTCTCTCTCTGCATCTCTCTCTGCCCCTCTCTCTCTCTCTCTGCCTCTCTCTGCCTCTCTCTTTGCCTCTCTCTCTCTCTCTGCATCTCTCAGTCTCTCTCTCTGCCCCTCTCTCTCTCCCTCTCTCTCTCTCTCTGCCTCTCTCTTTGCCTCTCTCTCTCTCTGCATCTCTCAGTCTCTCTCTCTGCCCCTCTCTCTCTCCCTCTCTCTCTCTCTCTGCCTCTCTCTGCCTCTCTCTTTGCCTCTCTCTCTCTCTCTGCATCTCTCAGTCTCTCTCTCTGCCCCTCTCTCTCTCCCTCTCTCTCTCTCTCTGCCTCTCTCTTTGCCTCTCTCTCTCTCTGCATCTCTCAGTCTCTCTCTCTGCTCCTCTCTGTCTCCCTCTCTCTCTCTCTCTCTCTCTGCCTCTCTCTTTGCCTCTCTCTCTCTCTCTGCATCTCTCTACCTCTCTCTACCTCTCTCTGCCTCTCTCTCACACACTCTCTCTTTCACACACTCTCTCTCTCAAACTCTTTTTTTCTCTTACACACACTCTATCTCACACACACTCTTTCTCTCTCTTTTACACACTCTCTCTCTCTCACACACACACACACACTTTTTCTCTCTTACACACACTCTCTCACTCACACACACACACACACACACACACACACACACACACACACACACACACACACACACACACACACACACACATACACTCACACACACTCACCTGTAATTGGCTGAGACAGGCGCTGCCAGTCCTCATCAGCTCAGAGCACAAGCAGAGACCCGCGTTGCCAGGTCGGTAGGTGGTAAACGCTCCCTCAGGACACAACACTTTTGGGGGAG